TTGCGCCAAATTTCCCCCGACCTCCGCGCGCCGCTGACCCGCGCCAGCCCCGCGCCCTCCCGGCTCGTCGTCCCCTACCAGTCTGGATGTACGGGTCTACTTCAACTTCTTGGCTGTCTGACTTCCATTCAGATAAATCCTCTGACAGTTCTGAGTGATATTACGTTTGTAAATTATTGTTGTTCTATTCTTGGTTGTGCGTGGAGGTACGGTGCGTCCACCTATTCCTCCATCTTGCTGGAAGTCCCTGTTTACAAGTTTTTATATGAACATATTTTCACTTCTCTTGGATATATACCTAGGAATGAAACTGCTGGGTCTGTTTACTAAACTGTTTTCCAGTATGGGTGCATTTTACATTTCCATCAATAATGTATAAAGGTTCTAATTTCTCCATATCCTGCCAGTATTGGTTATTGTCTGTCCTTTCTTAAAAATTTTTTAAAAATCCTCATCTGAGGATACGTTCATTGATTTTAGAGAGAGGGGGTGGCGGGCGGAGAGAGAGAGAAGCATCCATTGGTTGCCTCTAGTATGCAACCTGACTGGAGAATTGAACCCACAACCTTTTGGTGTATGGGATGGTGCTCCAACCAACTGAGCCACCTGGCCAGGGTGTCCTTTTGATTACAGCCTTCTAGTGAGTATGAAGTGGTATCTTTTAATTTTATTTACATTTCCCTAATGATTAATGATGTTGAGTATTTTTTCATGTCTTTACTGATGATTTATTTATGTGTATATATATATATTTTGAGAAATGTCTAATCAAATCCTTTACCCCTTTAACAATTGGGTTATTTGATTTTTTTATTATTGAAATATGTTATTTATATATTCTGTATAGTAGGCCCTTATCAAGTATATGATATTTTCTGTGGGATGTCTTCACTTTCTGGGCAATATTCTTTGAAGCACAAAAGTTTGTGGGGTTTTCCTAAAAATATTTTATTTATTTATTTTAGAGAGATGGGAGAGGAGGGAGAAAGAGAAGGAGAGAAACATCAGTATGTAGTTACCTCTTGCACACACACACCCCCACCAACCGGGAACCCGGCCTGCAACCCAGGCATGGGCCTCGACCAGGAATCAAACCTGAGACATTTTGGTTTGAAGGCTGGCGCTCAATCCACTGAACCACACCAGCCAGGGCAAAAGTTTTAAATTTTAATGAAGTCTGGCTTATTTATGTTTTCTTTGTTTCCTTGTGCTTTTGATACCATATCTAAGAAACTATTGCCTAATCCAAAGTCATAAAGATTTATTCCTCTGTTTTCTTCTAAGAGTTTTACAGTTTTAGCTCTTACTAAGGTCTTTGATTCACTTTGGGTCCCTTTTTGTATGTGATATGTAGTAGAGGTGTTACTTTTTTTAAACCTTATTTTGAGATAATTTAAATTTACTTAGAGTTACTATAAAAGTAATTCATCCAGCTTACTCTAAAATTAACATTTTATATACACATAGTACAGTAATCAAAACTAAGAATATAACAACTGAGTTTATTTGGGTTTCACCAATTTTTCTAATGCCCTTTTCCTGTTTTAGGATTCAGTCCAGGTTCCTACATTGCATATAGGTGTCAATGTCTCCATAGTCCTCTCCAGTCTGTGATAGTCCTTAATCTTTTCTTATATTTCATAACATTTACACTTTGGAATAGTACTAGTTAGGTATTTTGTAGGACGTCTCTGAAATTGGGTTTTTCTGGTATGTTCTCATGATTAGTCTGAGGTTAACCATTATTGGAAAGAATGCCACATGGGATAATTCATCCTCTCTTTAAGGTTATGAGGATGTTTGTATGTGAGTTAATGTTTATGAAGGAGATAAGGCAGGTGTTTCTAGGGAAATAATAATCTCTTCCGAGCCTGGAGTGCTAGGTGGAGTGTGCAATGGAGATGGATACTCAGTCACACAGCAATAGTCGGGCACTCATTTATACACAACTGGGGTGCATGTAGGCATGAATTTTCCCATGTACAAGTGATACCAGCAGTAAGTTAACTGTTATTACTAATTTTTCTTTTCCTGGGACCGTGATTATTCCCCCACTATGGCGGGAATGTTAAGAGTATGTAGGGGCAAGAGGCAGATAGGCATACCTTTAAAGAAAATAGCCCCATTTAAAACATTTTATAATATTGTTTTTCAGTATATATATTAATATTTTCCTGAGGCACCTTTTTTCCTATTCTATCATAATGTGAAATATATATGCCTTAATAATTATATCAAATAAAACTTTTTTCTTGACGTAATACCTGGCCACCTCTACCTCATTTGTTATGACGTAGGAGATCTTATTTTAGGTAACAAAGCCAGGGTGACATTAGCTGATGCTCTGTGTCCCCCTTTGATGCCTCCCAGGAATGCCAGTGGCCTGGGGGCAGAGATGCCTGGACTTGAGCTGTGGAGAGAGAAAACTTCAAGCAGAGAGGCATCTCCAGGTACTGGGGCCAATCCATAGTTGATTATTTCCATATAGGTATGAGGAGCTAACTGACTAACAGCAATTGCCCAAACTTATATTTAAACTTTTTTTCATGAAATAAAGTATGTACATAGAAAATAATTCTAGGAACTGTTAACAATTTGTGCAGTTCAAGATACTTGGCAGTGGTTACTCTTCTTTTGTTATTTTTAAATAGGGAATTTAATTGAGGTTTTAAAATTAAGTGTGGATTTTTCTGATTTTAAATATAGAGTGAACATTTGGATAGTTAATGCAAATAATAATACATTGTTTTTAAAAATATATATTTATTCCAGAATAAAACACTGGGTAGTCTTAACAGTGTAAATTAAAATGAAATTTGAGAATTCTGTTTGGCAGTTGAGTACAAACAGTTTTCAAAAGGCAGACTTGATAGGTTATGTAGTTCTTATATCCTTTTAGCTTACTTAAATTTATATAGCATATATAAACTTATTAAACACACACACATATATATACACACGTATATTAAGTTACTTTTATATAGGTAAAACATACCAATATTTTTTTCTGTATTGTCATGGTAGTATTTTAAACCATACAAAACCAAAGTCCAAAGGAACCACTGTGATTATGTAAAAGAAAAAATGAAACTTTCTGTATTTGCTTTTGAGTGGATATTTTAATAACAAGAAATAAAAGTCTGAAGGGCACTTACATAAAACTTATTTTAGAGCCTAAGATTAAGCCATCACAGGCCACTAAACTTACCAGTTTTAGACCAGCAAACTCCAGGGTAAGGCGTAATGAGATTTTTATAAAATACTTGTATAGCTAAGTAGGTTATAAACTTGCCATTTCTGCTTTAAAGGAACAAGGTAAAAGGGTCTCAAGGGAGATGTATCTACACATAAAGAAGAATTATATATTAAATACTGAGTTGTTGAATGGACTTAATTAATTGCAGGGTATATTCACTGATTGAAGAAATATTTTTTTAGTGTCTACTATGTACCAGAGACTGTTCTAGGTGTCAAGATAGAGTGGTGAACAAAAGAGACCAGGTTCTTGCCTTCATGAATTGTGGAGACAGGTTAAGTCAGGTTGGTCAGAACATGGGATACAAAGCTGGGAAAGTGGAAAGAATATGCTTTGGTGTCATTCTCTATTTCAAGAATAGTGGGTGGTTTTCATATGACGTACTAGTTCTGTGGACCCTCCCCATAGACCTGGACATAAGGCTATGATTGCATGTTAATGATCACTACTATAGGTGCAGTGAGGGATGGGGCTTATATACTTTGGAACCAGACCTAAATTCAAGTCCTAGCTCTGGCACTTACTAGACAGGTTTAGGGAGAGTTATTTAACTACTGTGAACTCATTCCCTTGTTGGTAAATACAGGGTGAATTGATAGGGTTGTGAAAATTAAAAACTCCAAAAGATGCTCATTAAGTATTCTCCCCATCTTTCTCTCATCTTAGTTTTCTTAGACATAATATGGGTATATACTACTGGCCTTGTCTATTGTTGTGAGAACGATAAATAAATGAAATAAATGTGTGAAACCACTTTAATATAGTCTGTAATGTGATATTACTATGTGTTATTTCTGGAAAGGGAAGATTTTCAGGCTCTCAGGCAGCTCTGGAGACTGGTAGAACTTATGGATTCTTCTAAAAGTAGGAGTCATGGATCCCCCCATTTGCAACCCAACATTCACATAATTTATTACTCTTTTGTGTTTTCTCTCCTTTTTGTTGTCAGCCTCTAGCTAACCTGCTGCTCCTAATACCATCTCTTGACATTCCTGAGAGAATCTAGATTGGTCCACTTAGGCATTGATATTCTTTTTGGCAGTATTTTCCTATCCAGCAACATCCAGGCAGTTGATTGGCTTATGAAGTGGGTGCCCTTGGATCTGGTGCTTACTAGTGCTTCTTCCCACAGTAGCTGTTCTGGCCTAGTCTGCCTTCCTTTAATGGGGATATGGGGCAGGAGTTTCCTTCAAGGTGGCTGTGATTACTGCAGACACTAAACCAACCTGTCTAGGAAAATGCAAAGATTAAAGGAACTGGAGGATATCGGGATAGGTTTTAAGGTGGGAGATAGCCTTTGAAATTTCCTAAAGTGCAGATAATTATTTTTCCTTCATTTTTAAAATAAGATGATAGTAATTTATAGTACTTCTTGAACTCAGTAAAATTATTATTGCTTGAAGTAGATATCAGCTGATAGATAAATTTCTCTTTAGATTTTAGGTTTCCAAAGAGAAGACTCAATAAGCTTTGAGTTATTGGTAATTCAGTTGGTAAATTATTCTTGATAACTCAAGATTTCACCAATCTCTTAGAGACAACTTTCAATCAAAAAGATTTTTTTTTTGGCCTAATATAAATCCTACTCAATTCTCTCAGCTTTTCATGTTTCATTGTTAAAGTTTGTGAACTATTTCTTGAAACTATTTGACGGTAGTCAACTAATATTTTAGAAGTACTTACTAATGTTTATAATATACACTCAGTATATTTGTTTAACAAAATTTAACTCTTTTTCTTCTAGGTAATTTATCCTCAACATTCCAAACTTACTGATAGAGAAGTAAGTAAAAATATTGCTCTGTATAGTCTACTGTTTGTTAGTTTGTTTTTCTTGGTGTGTGTGTGTATTAACATATATAGCTTTTGTTTTCTTTTTCAGAAAACCAATATTTGCTATTTGTCTTTTCCAGATTCAAATTCAGGTAACTATTCTTCATGTGGTGTTTCTGTTGAATTTTATACTAAAAATACTGGTTATACTGTTAATATATAGAAATTGACAGAAACAGCATATTAGTATGCAAACTCAATTTCAGACTAACAGATCAGTGATTTTGATTCCTAGTTTTATAATGCCTAGTAATGTCTTGTTGATTAATGTTGTAAAACACCAAGGAGCAATAAACTGTTGAACTAGTGAAGAGATTGAAAATCAGTGACATTAGTATATTTAGGTATTTGTAGTAAGTAGTTTACTTTTAGTTTAGGATTTGAGAGCTTTCCAAGAACTCTGTAAAAGGAGTTTAAAAAAACAACAACAGGATGAATCTGGTTATAAAAGCATGACCTCAAGTTATTTTCAATAATATATTTGAGTTAATATATGGAAAGTACTTGGAATAGGCATCTAGAAAACAGCATAAAAGAGTTTGCTATTATTTTAGACTTGGTTTTTCTGGTTGTTTTCAAACTTTCCCTTTGTGTGGGTCCTAATTGTTGAAACATTCAGGTTACCTCTTGTGTTTCACTTTTAACAGCTTTTCAGGCTTATGGTGATCAGAACATTCCGTTTCTATGACCACATACAGGAGTTAGAAGCCTATGAAGCAAAGACAGTTTAGTTCCCTTTCCTTTTGAGGTTACTTCTAATACATTTGGAGCTCATTTTCATGAAATATATAAAAATGTGCTACTGTGGTAGGAAAATAAATTAAATAAATAAAATTAAAATATGCCTTTGAGAGATCCCTGTAGGGTATTTGTTCTGATGTGGAATTATTGGAATCTTTTAATATGTTTTGCCTACAAAGTCCACACATGGAGTTTTGAATGTAGTGAGTGGTGGATTGGACTTCCAGGGCTCAGGGTAAGCTGAGCTGTATGGATTGCAGGATAAGCTTATTATGTGATTGGAGTTCCATTAGAATCTACTTTATACTTACTCTTCTATCTCAGATCATAGTTGGCTTTCATGGATTGCTTACTTTTTCATATCTCTACATGAACATCAAGGCTCAGCAGTTAATTATATGGTATTCAGATAGCCTTTTCATTTCTAGTTTTGTAGTTAGTCTCTCCATTCATCATTTTCTTATTGAAAGTTAATCTCAAGTGTAAATCTGTGTAACTCAGAATTTGATCAGTATTTCAGGCATTTGAGTAACCTACAGATGTTTTTTAATGCTTTTTTTAATAAGATCTGCATCAAATGAAGTGTGGTTCATTTTATTTGAAGAATGGTTGGTACTTAGAAGTAAAATTGAAAGAAGATTTTAAAAATAGATACTTTGCCCTCTTAACAGATGACTTAATCTAGACAGCAAGAGACTGTGAGGTTTGTATGTATTTCAGATCACTATTCTTATTTTTGAATATTCAAATAGTTTGTTTTACTTAAATGTTTTATTAAATGGAAGTTGGCATTATTGTGCCAACTTTGAAATGGATTTAATTTTTCCTGAAATAGCTTTAATAAAAGCTATTTGATAAAAGCTATATTGTCATGGAAGGAAATCTAGGCACAGTAGAGTAGCTTTAGGAAAGTCTAGGTTTTGTTTCCATGGTACACACTTTTAAAAAAGCCAAAGAACATTTAGACCCTGTTATGCTGTACACGTAAAGAGGTATACTTTGGGGATTACCAGTAGAATGATTTGCCAGTCCTGTACCTCCTCCACCCACTACCAAAACACATACACGCCCCCCTACATCTTATGACTTTAGAAATTGGTTTGTTTTTAGGTTTCTATTTCTTGTTTCATGTGGTGAATGGTGTTTCATGTGGTGAATGGCTTTTATCTTTAGGAACCCAAGTTTAAAGTATGCCTACTCTCTTGACAAATATTTGTCAGGCATTTTTTCTCCTTACTGTTTTATCACTGACATCATTTGGATACAAGTGTTCCTGAGGCTTAAGGTGTGATGGGGACCCAAGGACTATAATCACTATATTTTAAACATGTCTAGAGTGAAAACTCAGCATTAGTAATATTTTAGGTAATGGTGAATTCAAGGGAAGGATTACTCTTTGCTCTGGGTGGATTAGATATGCAGACAATATTTATCTCAACAGATTTCTTCTCTGTAATAGCAGGGACATCATCATATGCTTTATACTTCCAAATGCTGAAAGCAGTGCTTCTCACACTATCTGTTGAAAGGCCAGTTGGGGTTTTTTTTTTTAATTTCCCATATTGTACACCAATGCTTTTATAAAATACAGTTTAAAGGAATTACTAGAAAATGAAGGGAGAAAAGCAAAAAAATACAAAGTAAAAGTCCAGATTTGTCATAACATTATCAGATTTCTGTAAGAGTTCCTAAATGCTTGCTCTCAACTTGGATATTTAATTCATCATGGATCAGTAATAAGAATTTGTAGACTGGCATCAGTCTATGGACTACACCTGGAGAAGACCAGGTTGAAAGTCCTGCTTGTCATCAGTTCCAGCTCAACCACTTTAATCACAGAGAGAGTGACTACAAAGAACAGGAGGCTAAGGATAGGGCTAGTGCTTGAGATCTCATGTTTTATCTTCATCTATGAGTTCTGATCTGCTCTATAGCTGTACTTGTATTAATATACAAATAATCTTTAAAATTGTTTGTTCCCTTTAGGAAAAATATTTAAGCTTTTTTCCTCAAATCTCTAAATGATATTTTAGTTACAGGAAGTATGCTTACCTTTAGTTTTGTAGTCTCAGAGTAATTAGTAGATGTAAAAGAAGCTTGCAAAATACTCTGTGCCCTTGATATATTAAAACGAGAGGAGAGTTCTGGCATACCACACCACATTCATATAGGAGGAGCCATGACTGAAAGGACTGGCTGCTTGCTTGAATGAACTGTATTGCACAGAGTCCATGACCTGAGAGGCGTTTTTCAGAAGTACTTTTGTTTTTCGACCTCCCAATTGGCAGGAAAGTAACATTTAAAAAACCTTATTGAGCTACAGATCACCCATGTAAAATGTATAATTCAATGATTTTTAGTATATTCACAACATCATGCAACTATCACTACAGTCAAATTTAGAAAATATTCATCACCCAAAAAGAAACTCCATACTCTGCTCTGACTGGTGTGTCTCAGTGGACTGAGTGGCAGCCTTCGAACTGGAAGGTCTCTGGTTTGATTCCCAGTCAGAGCAAATGCCTGGGTTGTGGGCCATGTCCCAATGTGGGGCATGTGAGAGGTAACCGATTGATGTTTCTCTTGGACATCAGTTTTTCTCTCCCTCTCTCTCTCCCTTCCTTCCCCTCTCTCTAAAATAAATAAATAAAATCTTTTTAGAAAAGGTTTATATTCTAAAAAAAGAAAGAAACTCTATACTCCATTTTTCTCACCAAGTCCCCCACAACAACCCTGGACAACCACTCATCTACTTTCTGTTTTTATGGAGTTACCTGTTTTGGATATTTTATATAAATGGAAGTAGTATTTTAAAGTCTGTTTTGACTTGAAAGAGCCAGGATGATATAGTAGTGGTTAAGAGCACCAGCTCCAGAGTTAGACTTCTTGGGTTAAAATTCTTGCTCTTCCATTTAATAGATTTATTTGTTTGGATGATTGCCTAACTTCCTGTGCTTTGCTTTGCTCCTCATAATAAGGAATAATAATTCCTTACCAGAGAGGCATAATGACCAAATTAGTTAATATATCTAAAGCATTTAGAACAGTGCCTGGAAAATAAAGTAAGCACTCAATGAATATTAGTGATAAACTCATATTGGAAGGGATGCACCGTACCTCTACGTACAACCAAGATTAGAACAACAACAATTTAGAGGCAGAATAACACCCAGAACTGACAGAGAATTTATCTGAATGGAAGTCGGACAGCCAGGAAGTTGAAGTAGACCTGTTCATCCAGACTGGTAGGAGGGGCGGAGACGAGCAGCAGCGGGGCTTGGGTCTTGAGTGCAGAGAACAGGGAGAACTGGGCGCGTAGGCAACAGGGAGCTCGTAAGCCATCTGGGGCACACAAGATCGCAGCGGGTGGACCCTGAGTAAGCAAGCGGCAACTGGCGGACCCGGTGAGGCTGCAATTGTGAACCAGGGCAGAGCGCGGAACCCAGGATCCCAGGGAAGGGTCTGAGATCCCAGGAGAATGGAGGTGCAGCCATTGTTCCCTCTCGCCCCCGCCCCCGCCCCCACATACAACGTCACCATCTAGCGACTGGGGTGCCCAGCCCCGGTGAACAGCTAAGGCTCCGCCCCTCACCGTAACAGGAGTGACTTGTCTCAAACAGAAATACAGATCAGTGCCCCAGGGCTTATCCTTTTGACCGACCAAGAGATTGCCAGTCTATCAGATGCACAGTTGAAAACACTGGTGATCAGGAAGCTCACAGAATTGGTTGATTTTGGGCGCAAATTACATGAGAAAATGCAGGTTACCATAAAAGAGATGAAGGAAGATGCATGGAGAACCAATAGTGATGGGAAGGAAACTGGGACTCAGAAAAATAGAGTGGACCAGAAGGAAGAAAGAAACAACCAAACAGGAAAGAATGAAGAAATAAGAATTAAAAAAAAAAAAACGAGAAGCTTAGGAACCTCCAGGACATCTTTAAACGTTCCAACATCCGAATTATAGGGGTACCAGAAGGGGAAGAGGAAAAGCAACAGATTGAGCATGTATTTGAACAAATAATAAAGGAGAACTTCCCCAGTCTGGCAAAGGAAATAGACTTCCAGGAAATCCAGGAAGCTCAGAGAGCCCCAAAGAAGTTGGACCCTAGAAGAAACACACCAAGGCACATCATAATTACATTAGCCAAGGTAAAAATGAAGGAGAGAATCCTAGAAGCAGCAAGAAATAAGGGGACAGTAACCTACAAAGGAGTTCCCATCAGACTGTCAGCTGATTTCTCAAGAGACCTTACAGGCAAGAAGGAGCTGGAAAGAAATATTCCAAGTCATGAAAGACAAGGACCTATATCCCAGATTGCTCTATCCAGCAAAGCTCTCATTTAGAATGGAAGGGCAGATAAAGTGCTTTTCAGATAAGGTCAAGTTAAAGGAGTTCATTATCACCAAGCCCTTATTTTATGAAATGTTAAAGGGACTTATCTAAGAAAAGAAGATAAAGAAAAAACATGTATAGTAAAATGATAGCAAACTCACAATTATTAACAATCACCCCTAAAGCAAAACCAAAAGAAACTAAGCAAACAAGTAGAACAGGAACAGAACCACAGAAATGGAGATCACCATTCTGTGATCAACAGGGGAGTGGGAGGAGGAGAGAGGGGGAAAAGGTACAGAGAATAAGTAGCATAGATCGTAGGTTGAAAATGGATAGGGGGAGGGTAAGAATAGTATGGGAAATGTAGAAGCTAAAGAACTTATAAATATGACACATGGACATGACTGAAGGGGGGGATGGGGTGGGAGAGGGTGTACAGAGTGGAGGGGAGTGAAGGGGGAAAATGGGACAACTGTAATATCATAATCAATAAAATATATTTTAAAAAGTTGTATTTTCCTTAGAGAGCTGTCATTTAATCTTAAAATGTGTGTAAATTGATCTTCATATTTTGGTTAATATAAAGAAAAAATCATTTCCATTAAAATGTTACTCCAATTTTATGCTAGTCAGAAAGCTGTGACACACATAGCATAACTTGTAGGTATATTTCAAGCTTTGTAGATCTTTAGTTTTCTTAGTGAATATATTGGATAAGATACTTGATTCTTGGAATTCAGTAGAATTGTAGGTTTGTTATAGACTTTTATTTTAGAATCATTGAATATAACTGCTGGAATTGACTTTAAGTGATGATCTTACGGTGCCCTGTATTTTTTGTTAAGGAAATTGACAACCTTAGGTTAATTAGAAGGCTAATTATTGATGGTCCTGGGACTAGATCGCATTGCTTGTGGCTTTTTTCCCTCAGATCATAACATTTTCCTGAAGAACACATTCATTTTAACCATCTTTTCACATGTGAACATTATGTTGCTTATGTAGAACTGCAGTCATTTGTTATGTAGACAAACTGACAATATATATTTATTTATAATGAGCTTGTAGGGAATCAGGATTGCTCTTCCCTAAAGTATTATTTTCTGCAAGGTAAATGTGAAAAGTCTGGTTGCCAATCTGTAATGCCTCCTTTTCTATGGATAATAATGGTGAGGTCAGGATGGAGAACAAAGGTTCACAACAAAATCAGATTAGGAGTTGATATTTCTTTAATAATCTTTCGTACATGAATGGACAGATTATCAAAATATAAAATGGGAACCATTTACCTCAATTCACAAGGACACTATTAAAGCCTTCTTGCCCTGGTCAGCTAGTTTCTTGACTAATTCTTTACAACTTGTGGATGTAGCTGGTCACTGTAAAGTTCTCACAGCGTGCCCATGATTTGAAAAGGGAGCCAGGTAGGTAGGGATTTAAGGCTAAGGGAGCTTCCTTATTTCCCTTCCACAAAGTTTAGCATTCCTTACATTGTCCAGATAACTACAATATTTCTTTCTTAAAATCCATTGCATTTTCCTGTTCTGTCTTGCTGTCTCAGAGAAATTAGTTTGTACTTCTCAGATGGTTTTTTAAAAGATGTCTTCTAAAAAGAAAAACTAAACCATCAGCATATACATCTGTTGAACTAAAACAATGCCTGAAGTATTTTTTTTCAGGTTTCAATTGTTTTCCTTAATTTTAAACTATCTGCTTCAAAAAGTAAAGAAACTGCCCTGGCTGGCGTAGCTCAGTGTATTGAGCGCAGGCTGGGAACTAAAGTGTCCCAGGTTCGATTCCCAGCCAGGGTACATTCCTGGGTTGCAGGCCATAACCCCCAGCAACTGCACATTGATGTTTCTCTCTCTCTCTCTCTCTCTCTCTCTCTCTCTCTCTTTCTCCCCCCCTTCCCTCCCTAAAAATGGATGAATAAAATCTTAAAAAAAAAAAAAAAGGTAAAGAAACTGAGGTGAGCCACCCTCCAGTTCCCTTTGTTTCTTCCCTGTACCAACAAAGATATATTAGTTTCTATAATTGCATTTAGGTATACATACTGAGTTGATTTTTAAAGAACTTAAACATATTATCAAGTTTTTACTTCCTTTGTTGAGAACTTCATGTGCTCAAGTACTTCTGTGCATAATAATAAGTAATAATAAAATCCTAGTATATTTGATACTTAATAATATATTATTAATTTTAAATATAGTAAGCAGGAAAAATTTGAAGCTACTTCATGTGTCTTTTACTTTTTATAGTATTAACAGTTTTTTGGTTTTTGTAATTATTGCCTGACAGTTTAGGTAAAGTTTACATGTTTTAAGAGGTTTGCTAAAATGATAAAAGGTTAAAAGTTTTTTAAATTAAAATTATTAAAATAGTAAGTTTATTATTGGGCTCTTTCATTAGGATGTCTTGTTTTAAAAAGTGACCCTCTCATTGTGACCCTGACTGGTATGGCTCAGTGGGTTGGGTGTCATCCTGCAAACCAAAAGATCGCTGGTTCGATTCCTGGTCAGGGTACATTCCTGTGTTGTGGGCCAAGTCCTTGGTTTGGGGCATGTGAGAGGCAGCCGATTGATATTTCTCATGCACATTGATGTTTCTTCCCCTTTCTTTCTCCCTCCCTTCTCCTATCTCTAAAAAAGAAATGAATAAAGTCATTTTTAAAAGTCTCATTGTGAAATACAAAACATATACAAGCTCCAGAAAGCTCCCTCAGGTCCCCTTCCAAATGTAACCACCACTACCCTAGTTCTTATCCTGCTTCTTTATAGTTTTATTACCCAATCATGCATCCCTAAACACTATAGCTTTACCTGCTTTTTTATAAACAAGTATATAAATGGATTTGAACAATATATATTATTTTGTGCTTGGCTTTTTTTGCTATTATACTGTGAGTCTGCATTACATACAGTTTTTAAAATTTTTTAATTACATGGGGAAAATGGAATAGGAAAAATAATAGAGGGACTTACGAGTTCAAATGCATGTTTACTAATGGCTTTGCTTCTAACCAGTGAAGATGACTTGGAGCAAGTCACTTGGACTCTCATGATCTCCTCTTTTTCTTTTCTAAAACATGATAGAATGGATATAAATGGTTGCTAGGACCCCTGCCACTCTAACATTTGATGAAACTGGATAAATAAGTGTTATACTGTGCTATCCTTAATTTCTTTTATTTTTGTTTTCATTAGGTTGTCTTGGAGATACCCAGTTTTGTTTTAGATTTCGACAGTCTTCTGGCAGAAGGGTGTCACTGCATTGTTTCATGGATCAATTTGACAAAGATTTACCGGTTTACTTAAAGGTTGGAAAAGTAGTAATAGAAGAATGTCCATGTGAGAGGAAACTTTAAAACTCAGTTACTTACTAAAGCATTCAGAAATATTTTGCGTTTGTTTTGTCAATATATCACACTGATGGATTCCCTGAGTCTGATTCATAAAGATTCAGTGTGTGAGTGAAAGAGACTTCATAAAGTTACTATTCTTGAAACATAATGCCCATTGTGAATTATAGAAATTGATTTCTTTCATTTGTTAATAACTCTTTGTTCAGATGTGGAGGTAGGGTGGTACTTTACCAGTAAATATGACCCAGAGTCGAAGATTCCCTGTGGTAATCCCTACCTACTTTATGGTAGAATTATAATTCTCTTTTTGATTTTTTATTAAGTTTTGTTTTATACTTACTGTTTATTAAAAATACTTTTAATAATTCAGAAGATTCCAGGGTGTAGGTTTCTATTTTGTAGTGTGCATAAAGAATATTTTCATCTGAATGTCCTATCAGACATTCAGTATGAACTTGACATAGTTTGCCTAAAATCAGCATTTACAGTTTACCTACTTTGTTCCACTAATTACAGGGACCCACTTTTAGTTAGCAAAGGTATTACCTTTGAAATATCTCTTATAGCCATCTCCTTTCCGTGACCTTTTACTATCACTATTAACATATTCCTTCAACTGATGTTAATAATAACTACATTTATTAGAACTTTTTATATTCTAGGCGTTGTATTAATGAGCATATATTATCTCATTAGTCTTCCCTGTATTGCTCTGAGAGCATTCCTTTTACAGTTGAGGGAATTAAGGGCTGTTGAGGATATGAAATTTGCCCAAAGACATTCCAATGCAGTATATCTTACACAGTGTTGCCAGCCAAAATGTACATATATATTACCTAAAGGTAAATAAAATCTAAAATGACCACCTATTATTTAATGAATAAAAAGCTACTTATCATTGCTATTTCCTTGTCCTCACTTTTTGGGCCTTCCAAAATAAGGCTTTTACTTTTCCAGTTTCCAACTTCATACCCTTTCTATATATACATGTGCCATATTTTAGCCAAAATGAACTACTTTTATCTTGCTTTTTCCTGGGATAGCTTGTATTTTTTTGTGTGTCTCTTTGTTTTTGCTGAAACTACTATACCTCTAAACCTGGAATGTCTTTGTTTAAATCTTATACATCCTTCAATGCCCAATTCAAAATCAGCTATCTCCATGAAGTCTTTACTGAGCCACATAGAGATAATCTCTTCTCCTTTGGCCTCTCTGTAACACTTTGTGCTTTTTTCATGGTACCTGCGCTCCTATTCCATAATGGTAATTTTTGTACTTTTCCCTTTGATATTGTGATCTCCTTAAGGAACTGTGTCTTATGCATCTTTCTGTTTTCTCTAACACAATGCCTTGTTCAAAGTAGGTGGTCAATAAGTATTTATTTAAAGAATAACAAATAAGGAACTGGGCTATAATTTATTCTGTGAGGATGTTAAAAGTAAGTTTTTTAGAATGTAATCACTTTTCAAATGGCATGTTGATAAACATTCCACTGTTTCATTATTATTGGGTAAAAATGTAACTAGCTATGTAAGATTCAGATTGGCACGTAATTCTTTTTATTTTCTCTCCAAATTTTATATTAGGGTACCTCATTTTGTTAAGACTGACAAAGTGTGGGCAGGACTTTAAAAAAATCTTATATAAGACATTGGGGAAAAACAATTTGATTGTTTCCTAACTCCCATTGACTAGTACAGATATGAATAAAGAACATAAGCAGAGTAAGTTATAGAGGAAAAACATGACTTTAGTATGATTATTTCATCTTTGTGCAAGTTAGCACATTTTTATCTGGCTGTTATTGTCATGGTTATTGTTTGTTTTGGTGAAAAAGCGTAACTGGCTCTTTGTGTATACCTCATAACTATTCAGGTTTATAAGGGAACCTAATAATAATAAAGAATGGCTATATATATAATTTTTATTTGTCACTTTTTTATAGAAGGATCCTGCTTATTTTTATGGATATGTGTATTTCCGACAAGTTCGAGACAAAACTCTGAAACGAGGCTACTTTCAGAAGGTAATTTTCATAGATACTATAATAGAAAAAATATTTTTATATTGTGGTTAGAAAGATGGAAATTGTTAGAATGAATAGTCTTTGAAGCCTTTGACATTTTTAAACATACTAGAATTTATATTTTATCTTTATTTTTCAGGTTATAGAGACCTATACCTAGATTTTTACCTGCTATTGAATTTTACATTTCTGCTATCTCTGTACTAGATTCCTGACCATAAGTTATACTTTTTTATGAAACCATCAAAAGTCATAAGAATCTGCTTAATTTTTATATTTTAGAATAAGGGAAAGAATAAACAGTATAATGTAGTTACAACTAATAAAAACCTGCAGTATCTTTTTTGAAGAGTCAATAAACATACCTCAGCAATATCTTAGACATAGTTTTTACTCTAAATGTACAATCTTTTACTTTCTTAAAAAAGATTAGTTGATTTCAATTCATTCCCAGCTAATGGGACACAATTTTACCTTTTGTAACTAGAATATGGCCTGAGCAGTAATTGGTGCTGGATGGAAAGGTAAAAAATAGTTTTTAAGAAAATAGATTTAAAAAAATAAGATTCAATTTTATAACTAAAGTGATTAAACTATAAATTCACAATTTTTAAGTATGTGGCCTTCACCATTGAACTCTAAAATACTGGGGGGAGGTAGGAGAGGGCAAAGTAGAGATAAACGGTGATGGAAGGAACCTTGACTTGGGGTGGTAAATACACAATACAATATACAGATGATGTATTTATAGAATTGTACCCTTGAAACCTATATAATTTTAAAAGTTTTAAATCCTCACTCAAGGATATGTTTATTAATTAGAGAGAGAGAAACATCATTGTGAAAGAGAAACATCCATTGGTTGCTGCCTGTATGCACCCCATCCAGGGATTGAAACTGCAACCTAGGTATGTGCCCTGACTGGGAATTGAACCCACAACTGTATTGGTGTATGTGACGTTGCTCTAACCAACTGAGCCACCCAGCCAGGGTGAAACCTATGTCATTTTTAAAAATGTTCCATAGGGGAGAAGGTTAAGATGGTGGCCTAGGTAAACAAGGCTTGCAGCTTTGCACAGCCGCATCAAAATTAACAACTAAACCAGGGGAAAACCATTATTCAGAAATGGTTTCTCAGCCAGAAGTCAAGCTGAGTGGGAATATAATTCCTATAACTACGGAATTAAAGAAGAAACCACATTGAGACTAGTAGGAGGGGTGGAGACACGGAACAAGTGGTCTCACATCCACGTGCAGTAGATAGAAATTAGGAGGTATATCTTGGAAGCTACAACAGGCCCCCCAGCTCAGGGTTCAAGTGCCAGAAAGATAAGTCCCCATAACTTCTGGCTGTAAAAACCAGTGGGGATTGAGGCTGTGAAAGACAAAAACTTGGATTCCCAGGCATGTCCTCTTAAAGGGCCCATGCACAGAATTACTCAGATTCATTCCCTCTGAGCTCTAGCAACAGGGCAGCAGCTTTAAAGATACTAGAGGCATATGGGGAGGAACTGAAGTATCTGGGACCAGGGCAAGAGCCAGGGGGCAGCTTTCTCCCAAAAAGAACTGCTGGCAGAGGCCATTTTTCTTTTCTAAGCCTTCCCCCCACAGAGCTGGCAGGTGGGCACCATCTCTGACTCCATCAACCTGTTCATCCCACGCTGGTGATTTTCTGAGGCTCTGCCCCACCCAATTATGGGGTCCACCCAAGCTATTTCCATTGGCTTTCTCCTATGAATAGCTTTTCTTGGCTTTTGCTTCAGATTTTCCTAAATCTTCTCAAATAAGCAGCATCTGTCCTCAGTGAGCTTGGTACATTTTGCTAAATAACCCCAGGCCTGGCACTTAGTAGTAGCTGGCCTTGGTTCACAGCTTGGCCTACCTTAGGTATCTCCAAGCCCAGTATAAATAGCAGCCATCTGCAGATAACTTTGTAGCTTATGCCAGATAGTCTCAGATAGGACACAGGTAATGGCTGACCTTGGCCTGCACCTCCTGGGAAGCCCCAGAGCCTGCACCTGCAGTAGATAGCTACAAACCATGACAGAGTACCACCATTCAAGTACCTCAACAAGTGACACACTTAAGGTGGAGACTCAGTAGGCACCAGAGCCCTGAAGAAATAAGTTCTGCTTTGTGGAGTGGGCCCCCCTGCACAGTTGATCCTTAACAGTGATCAGAGGTTGGTGGTTGTGGTCATAGCCAGTACTCATAGCTGATCGGCCTGAGTAAATCCCTTCCATTGACTTGCCAGCAGCAATCAAGGCTCAACTACAAGAGGGGGTTATACACAGGCCACAAGCTGGGTGCACCTCGAGTACGCAGCTTGGGTGATATGGGAAGCTGTGCCACTGAACCCTACAGAGCACTACTGCATTAGGCCACTCTACCAAGACAGGGAGTTGTAGCCGCTCTACTAATACATAGAAACAAACTCAGGGAGGCTGCCAAAATGAGAAGACAAAGAAACATGGCCCAAATGAAAACAGAACAAAACTCCAGAAAAAGAACTAAACAAAGTGGAGACAAGCAATCTACTAGATACAGAGTTCAGATGCTTGGTTATAAGGAATCTGAATGAACTTGGGGGAAGAGCAAATGAACTCAGAGAACTTCAACAGCATAAAAGACATGAAAACCATAAAAAATAACCAGTCAGAAACAAAGGCTACACTAACTGAAATGAAGAACAACTCACAGGGAATCAACAGAGTGGATGACGCCGAGATTCAAATCAGCAATTTAGAATGTAAGAAAGCAAAAAACACCCAATCAGAACAGTGAGAAGAAAAAAAGAAACTTAAAAAAAAATGAGGATAGTGTAAGGAGCCTCTGGGACAACTTCAGATGTACCCATATTCTCATCATGGAGGTGCTGGGAAGAGAAGAGAGCACGAAATTGAAAACCTATTTGAAAAAATAATGATAGAAAAACCTCCCTAATTTGGTGAGGGAAATAGACATGCAAGTCCAGGAAGCACAGAGAGTCCCAAATAAGGAGAATTCAAAGAGGCCCACACCAAGACTCACCATAATTAAAATGCCAAAGGTTAAAGACAAAGAGAATCTTAAAAGCATCAAGAGAAAAACAATTAGTTACCTACAAGGAGTTTCCATCAGACTGTCAGCTGAATTCTGAAAAGAAACTGTGCAGACTAGAAGGGATTGGCAGAAAAATACAGTGATTAAATGCAAAGACCTACAACCAAGATTACCCAGTAAAGCTATCATTGAGATTCAAAGGGCAGATAAAGAACTTTCCAGACTAGGAAAAAATTGAAGGAGTTCATCACCACCAAACCATTATTCTATGAAATGTTAAAGGGACTTTTTAAAGAAAATGAAGATCAGAACTATGTACAATAAAATGGCAATAAATGCATATCTACCAACAATTGAATCTAAAATAAATAGAAGCAGACAAGCAGAACAGATCCAGAATCATAGATGCAAAGAATATTTTTTAAGTATTTTGTATTGATTATACTATTACAGTTTTCCCAATTTTTTCCTCTTTATTCCCCCTCCACCCTGCCCCCCCCCCCAAATCCTCCAGCATTCCCCCCTTCCCCTTAGTTCATGTCTATGGGTTGTATATGTAAGTTCTTTGAGTCCTGTGTTTCCTGTACCATTTTTTTATTTCTCCCCATCTATTTTATGACTACTAAATATGCTTCTTCTTCCCTGTACCTTTTCCCCCCTATTCCTCCCTTCCCCCTCCCCACTGAACTCCCTCTGTGTGATGTCCATTTCAATGGTTCTGTTCCTGTTCTGGCTGTTTGCTTAGTTTTTGTTTTTATTGTTTTTCTTCTAAGTTCATTTGTTGATAGTTGTGAGTTTGTTCTCATTTTATTGTTCATATTTTTTATCTTCTTTTTCTTACATAACTCCCTCTAACATTTCATAAAATAAGGGCTCAGTGATGATGAACTCCTTGAACTTGACCTTATCTGGGAAGCACTTTATCTGCCCTTCCATTCTAAATGACAGTTTTGCTGGATAGAGCAATCTTGGATGTAGGTCCTTACCTTTCATGACTTGGAATACTTCTTTCCAGCCCCTTCTTTCCTCCCAAGATTTCTTTTGAGAAATCAGCTGATAGTCTCATGGGAACTCCTTCGTAGGTAACTGCCTCCTTTTCTCTTGCTGCTTTTAAGATTTTATTTTTGTCTTTAATTTCTTCTTTGGGACTCTCTGGGCTTCCTGGACTTCCTGGAGGTCTGTTTCCTTCACCAGATTGGGGAAGTTTTCCTTTGTTATTCAAGTAAGTTTTCAATTTCTTGCTGCTGTTCTTCTCCTTCTGGCACCCCTATTAATTCGGATATTGGAACGTTTCAGGTTGTCCCAGAGAGTGAGTCTTCAGCCTCTCTTCATTTTTTTGAATTCTTGTTTCTTCTTTTTGATCCAGTTGGATGTTTACTTCTTTCTTATGTTCCAAATCATTGCTTTGAATCCTGGTTTCCTTCTTGTCACTGTTGTTTCCCTGAATATTTTGCTTTATTTCATTTGTTCTTTCATTTTTCGACCAAGCTTAATCAGTTCTGTGAGCATTTTGATTTACCAGGGCTTTAAATTCTTCATCAGATAGGTTGGCAATCTCCTCATCACTTAGTTCTGAGGTTTTGCTGTGTTCTTTCATTTGGGCCATATTTCTTTGTCTTGGTGCAGCTAATAGGTTGTAAGGGGGCAGGGCCTTAGGTATTCACCCAGGCAGGGCAACCCTCTTTGCTGTGCTACCTGTGTGGGAAGGGCCAGAGAGGGAACAGTGCAGCTTGCCTGGTTGTCTCTAGTGCACTTTCCATCAGACTCTGATAGACTGAAAGTATCTCTCACTGGGGCAACCTCACCCTTAGCTCACAGTCAGCTCTGAGTCTTGGTTTCTCCCCTTCAGTCAGTCCCTCACAGCTCTGCTGAGGTCAGCAGTTAGCCCCGCCCCCCAGCTGCCTCACTGGCGGGCTTTTCTGAGTTGGCCAAGCCGTCCTTCGCCTTACCAGTCTGGGTGTTCTGGTTGATTTTTTTCTTTAATTCCTTGGTTGTTAGAGTTCCGTGCAGTGTGATTTTATGGCGATTTTGTTTATTGATTTTAGATTGGTCGTTATCCTCCTTTTGGTTGTGCAAGTTAGCAAAGGGTTTATACCTATGCTTCCATCTTGGCCAGAACTCTGATGCAGAGAATATTTTGATGGTTGCCAGATGGGAGAGGGGCTGGGAGGATCAGGGCAAAAAAGGTGAAGAAATTAAGAAGTACAAATTGATAGTTACAGAATAGTCATGGGATGTAAAGTTCCAAACAACATATAAGCATGACCCATGGACGTGGACAGTGGTGTGGGGATTGCCTGAGGGAGTGGGGTGGGTGCTAAAGAGGGAAAAGATGGGACAGCTGTAATAGCATAATCAATAAAATATAATTTAATTAAAACCTCTATCATTTTATTAACCAAAGTCACTGCAATAAATTCAATAAAAAATAAAAAATAGCCATAAGTCTTAGTTTGAAAAAAGCATCACTTTTGACCTTTTCTGAAAACAAGAATTCACCTAGCTAATTTCTCTTTTGCCAATAACAATAGGCTAGGCTTTGGAAATTATCTGTAACAGTATTCTGTTTATAGTAAATTCTTTTTTCTGGGAAATGCATTTCTGTGAATATACTTTTATGTTTTTAAAGTATAGTAATAAGTTAAAACTTTTTGCATTCTGTAACTAGTTTTATGTTTCCTTTAAACCATCTACTGGAAAAGCCTTTGTATTTCAAAATTCATACTTTTTGTTGAGTTTAGCTTGTTAGTAATTGATTATATAAGAAATGACAAACTTAAATTATAATCATTAGGAAATTTAAAAAAACATTGTTTCTTTTTTCCCTCCAGTCCTTGGTTTTGATCAGCAAACTACCTTATATTCATTTTTTTCACACTGTGCTTAAACAGATTGCACCAGAGTATTTTGAAAAGAGCAAACCTTATTTGGAAGCAGGTAAGTTAAACATTGTGTGATTTAAGTACTTTTATGAAGGAGTTTTAAAAATTTTACTGGAAATGATCTGATAAAAATTGACCTCAAAATTAGTTAAGAATAACTAATTCTTAACTAGAGAGAGATATAATACTATTCTTCTGATATCTTTTCCTAAACATATCAAAGACGATCATTTCTTATCTCCTTTTGTATCATAGGCTAATAATGAATACTGAGTTGACTCATTGCTATTAAATAGGAATTCTTATGTTACTTGATACAGAGAGAAGGTCTCTGCCAGGTGGTGTGCTTTTGTAGCTGATTTTAGTAGTAATAAATGTATAGAAAAACTTCCTTTAAGCCAATTATTCTGTTGCTTTAACAAATTTATTGACCAATTAATATCCTAGAATAGGTGTATTTCTGGTGAAGTGTAAGGTATTTGCACTACTTTTACTTTACTTTTTACCCTTTATCTTCCATCCTTCCTGGTGGATGATTTTCTTGCTCTATGGAAAGTAGAGTTTTAATTTCTAATATGCTATTTTTCATATTTTAATATTTCTATTTATACTAAGGAAGTATTTTACTATGTTTTTTTCAGCTTGTAATGATGTTGATCGATGGCCTGCCCCAGTGCCAGGGAAGACATTATACCTGCCTATTATGGGGGTAGTAATGAAGGTAATAGCTTATATTTCATTTGTCTCCTTTTTAAAAGATCTCTAGGACATTCACACACGAGTTTTGCTTTTTAACTTCCTAATAACACTCAGTCTGTTATTGCTTTCACTAGGATTTTTTTTTTTTTTTTTTTTATGTGAACAGTTACGGAGATACCACAATTCATTGTGCTGCACAGAACCATTAGTCAGACAATTCCAGGGGCCACTGACACCATCCTGTAGAATTTGCATAAGGAGTTCATTCTTATATAATACATGTGAATGTAAATGCCACCTAAAATTCTTCTATGCCATGGCCACCAGAGATGAATGGTATTGCAGAATACGTGTAGAATTGAGTATGAATTACTTAAAATTAAAAGAAATTAGGAAAGCCATTGGTTTTTAGTCTCAAATGGTCTTAACATATAATGTTAGACCAAACATGTCCATCATAGGTTATTGTTCTCTATTAAGTGTTCTTTCTTTCATTTTTATAAATCAATTAGCATTTTGCTCTTGGGCTTTGTATGAGTGTGATCTGAGGGCTTTTGCAATTCGTTTTCATGTTGGACTTATTTTTGTCTATGCTCTCTCTTTAGATGTGCTTATTTCTATAGGAGCTGTGTTTTGTTTTTTCCCTTAGAAATCATCAAAAGTATTACTTACCATTCTGGATTCAGCATTCTCATGGTTTCCTATGATATTTATTCCATAGTTTGCAAAGCTTGAGAGGGTGTGTTTGGATGTGTATATTAATGAAGCAAATATTGGAACAATAAACAGGAAGTGGTATAAAGTTGATGTCTTCTGTTTTTCAACATATTTGCTTCTCATTAAATTAGTGATTTCTGTATGTATGGGAGTGTGGAGACCTTGGTTCACTTACTTCTGCTGTGACTGAAAATAAGTATGACTTTATTTTTTAATTTGACATAAATACTTTGTTTTTATGGGTTTTTAGGCATTGCTGAGTATAGCTTTTTAGCAGCAGGATAGAGCACTTCTGCTCCCTCATTGTAGTGGGACTGGCAAATTAGAGAAAGGACATTCATTCTTTTGTTGCCCAAGTTAATTTCTTTTTTCTCTTTAAGGTACGGATTCCCACATGTCATGACAAACCTGGGACAACTCAAATAGCACAGTTAACTCAGCAGGTAGTGTGGTACTGTGATAGAGTAATTCAGCACATAGAGTCTCTTTAACAGAAATTTTAAACTAGCAAATGCAGTTTTTTGGGTTTACAATACACTTCTGAATATCACTGAAATATCCTAATAAAAGTTTTTAAATGAATTGATAATAAATTTCCTGATGTTTCTCAGATATTTTTCTTGTTCTTTCTCTAGTAGATACTGTCAAGAACTCAGAATTTATACTGTGATTATAAGGACAAGGGGAAAGTAAATACTATTTTTCAACAAGATTTAATTCTAACAAAGCCTGTTAAAGAATGGTCAGCAGTCTTGTTTTTAGGAAGCTTAGTCAAAAGGATTCTGTAGTTATTGCCTTTCATTTTTCCCCTAGCTATATCTGTTTATGGGTGGGGTTGAATTTATCATTTGAAACAGGACTCCCATTGTTCTTTGAATTGAATAAAATGGAGAGCAGAAGAAAAGCTAATTTTGCCTGTTACATATATCAACTAGTATTATGTTACCATTTCATATAGTTGTGAATTAATCTGACTATTTGAGTTAATGCTTTAACCATAGAATTTGTGTTTCATTGACTTTCTGCTGTGTTGGGGGAGATTGGTTAAGACACATTCTCTTTGTGGCTTCTCTTCGAGGAAGAGAATCTTACAAGATAGATAGGGCAATATGCTTATTGATCATGAGATAAATAGCCATATTTAAAAAATCTATTTCTGTAAATTTTAGTGACATCTCTATTTTTTCTTTTCTATATCTTAGGCAGACACACACATATCTGTTATTTTACCTACTGTTCATGAGGTAGATCTTTTCAGGTAAAGAGTAAAAAATTTTAATTGCTTTTTCTCACTGCTTTGTGATGTTAATTTCTTTAGAAAATGTATGTTCTTATATGAAATCTGTAAAAAATTTGGAAGAAAATAATCATTATGTTTCATATGTTATAAATCAGTGGTTTGTCCATGACTGCCTGTTGGGAAAATTTGGATATGGATTGGGATATATTACATGGTAGAAATAAATTGTTTTGGGTTGATGTGAGAATGGTATTGTAATGATGTAAAAAAAGTGCACTTATTTTTTGGAGATGCATTTTAAAATATTTTGAGGTGAAATATCATGAAGTTTGTGTTTTAAAGTACTTCAGTAAGAAAAAATAATTGAAGAAAAATGGCAAAATATTGTCAACACTAGATGATATACATAAAGTGGTTCTTACACTATTATCTTTATTTTTTCTGTATGTTTGAAACTTTTCAAAATGCAAAATAAAAAAAAACAGAGATCTAGCAGTTAAAAAAAAAGAAGGAAAAAGTACTGATGTTTATGCTTTACACAGAGTGGCTAAATAAGAATCTTTGGATTGGAGAAAGAAGGGTGGGGGAGAAAGAGAGAGAGAGAGAGAAACTTCATTTATTCTACTTACCTGTGCATTCATTGGTTGATTCTTGTATGTGCCCTAACTGGGGATCGAACCCACAACCTAGGTAACTGGGACAGCACTCTAACCAACTCAGCTACCTGGCCAGGGACAAATGGGTTTTGGTTGGATTTACTTTATATGTGGCTTTTGTGTGTGAGTATGAGTGTGTGTGACCTTCAAACTACGTGGAATACTGCTTCAAAGATTGATTAATTTTATATGTTAGATTTGTTTTATATACTGACCCTAGTACAGCCTAGTAATCCCACTTTTAGGTATTTACCCAATAAAAATGAAAACATATCTACATAAAAACCTGTGTGCAAATGTTTATAGTGGCTTTATATACCAGCCTAACACTGGTAAATGGATAAACAAAATGAGATATATGCATGCACATGACTACTACTTAGCAGTTAAAAAAAAGAATGAAGTATTGATGTAGTCAGCAACATAGATGATTCTGAGAAGCATTATGTTTAGTGAAAAAAAAAGCTAGATTTTAGAGAGCTACTTACTGAATGTTTACATTTATACAGTAAAAAGCAAAAGTATAGGGACAGAAATCAGATTAGTGGTTGCCTGGGAGTGGGAGAGGGAAATGGACTACAAAAGGGATGAGAAAATTTTGTGGGATCATAGAACTTCTGTATCTTTGGTAAGGGTGAATTTTACTTTATATAAGCTATAAATCTTAAAAACAAATTAATTTTCTTTAAAAAATAAGTGTAGCATTCTTACAATGCAAAGGGGAAATGTCCCCCAAATAAATGAAAATAACAGGAAATATGTACTAAGAGGGATTCATACTATTAATAGTTTTGATACTTAATTCATTAAGGAATAAACTGAACAACTGGCAAAGTTAATACAGAATTTAGTTACCAGACATGTTTTCTTTTGAACTACTAGGTGTAAAAATTTTAATGCTTTTTTATCATCAATCATCTTTGCTTTTGTAGTAATTAATTCCACCACTAACACCTTTGAAGAGTATGTCTTTTCTCCTGAATAGACATGTACTTCATGTACATGTTATTTCTTAAAAGAACAAGTTAGTATGTTGGTTTTTAATTTTTGTTATTCAAGAGGTGAGAAAACCAAACTTTGAAGAATAATAGCCTTACATAGAGATAGTACCATGCCAAGCATTTACTGTTATATCTGATGATGGATTAATGCTTTATCCATGACAACACTATTTTGTGTAGGTAGAGCTTACATTTTACCTTGGTAGTGTAAATGAGAGTTTAAATGGTTATCAGTTATATTGAAGGTAATATTTTTATACCAAGACTGAGCTTGTGACCAAAGGACAGACCTGGAAAGATGTTTGAAGTTGAGAGACAGATGCAGTTGAATGTGGGAGCCAGTTTCCCTCCTTTCACCAGGTCAAGGCTTGCTAAACTACTGCTACTTCAGGGACCATGCCTCTGGTTTTTATCTCTCTGTTGATCACAGAAATAGTCTTCTCATTTAGTTTTTAAATTGAGCTTGGAATTCAGAGACAGTTTTCGTCAAAAGAGACGGATACCCTCTTGCCTAGAGTCCAGGACATTTCACTTCATGATTATTTACTGACTTACTGACTTCTTTGCACAGCAAGAGGCATGTAAGTTATGTGTCCCCTTTTTCCCTCCCCCTAACTGTGGATCAAAAATATTTTTTAAAAAAGTTATGTTGTAACACTCTGGTTTCTCTTCAAATCACACAAATCTTTCACATTTTTAAAGAAGTTATGTTGTTGCTGATTAGTACTATATAGTTAGGCCTATGATGATTGCATGTGTACTGAACATATGTAGGCTAAACAAAATACTGTAATAACTATTTACATGGAATTTATATTATATTAATTATTATAAGTAATCTAGAGATAATTTAATGTATGTGAGAGCATGTGCATAGGCTACATGCAAATACTATGCTATTTTATATAATGGACTTGATCATCTATGGATTTTGGTATCTGCAGGGGTCATGGAATCGATCCCCCATCAATACCAAAGGACAACTGTGTACATGTATTTAAAATAGAAAAAATATATTTAAAGTTATATGTAATATATATATAAAATTTTGAAACAACCACAAATTTACAGAAAACTGCTAAGTTCAGTACAGAAGACTTTTTCCCCTGAACCATTTGATTTTAAGTTGGAAACCTGATGCCTTATCACCCCTGAATACTTAAGTGTCTATTTCCTATAAATTAGGACACAATGCAACCATCAAAATTGGAAAATTAACATTGATATATTAATATCTAATACTAAGATGGCATGCAAATATCAACAGTTGTCACAATAATACTTACTTGAGAATCATCTGTAGTATTTAGTTGTCATGTCTCTTTAGTTTCTGTCTTTTAGTCTGGCATGGCTCTTCAGTCTTCCTTTCATGCTTGCAACCCTGACATTCTTGTGGATTACAGGGCAGTTATTTGATGATTCAAGTTCTGCATCTTTAGTAAGGAAGTAGCACACAAATTTGGCTTCCTTGTTACTGATTATGTTCACTTTGATCACTTGATCAAAGTGGTCGCCTCTGCCTTGGCTGGTGTGGCTCAGTTGGTTGAAGCATTGTCCCGTAAATTGAAAGGTTGCTGGTTTGATCCCCAGTCAGGGCACATACCTACGTGTGGCTTCCTCCTGGTTGTAGCACGTATGGGAGGCAACTGATGGATATTTCTCTCTTACTCCAGTGTTTCTTTCTCTCCCCTCTCCCCTCTCTGTAAAAGCAGTGAAAAAAGTGTCTGTGGGTGAAGATAAAAAATGAAATTAAAGTGGTGTTCTCTAAGCTTCTTCATTGATAAGTATTCTTTTTCCTTGTAATTAATACTTGTAATTGAGTATTTTGTGGGGAGATACTTTGAAAGTATGCATATTAGTTATTTATTGCTGTATAATTCAGTATCCCAATACTTAGAATCTTGAATGAACAAACATTATTTCACACAGTTTCTGAGGGTCAGGAATCTGGGAAATGCTTAGCAGGATGGTTCTAGCTCTGGATCTGTTACGTGATTGCAGTCAGGATGTCAGCCGAGGTTTAGTAAACAAGACAGCTGGGCCTGGAGATCTGCTTCCCTAGATGGCTTACCTTACTTGGCTGTTCGTGGATGGAGGTCACAGTTCCTTGTCGCTCTTGGCAGGAGGCCTCATTCCTAGCCATGTATGTTTCTGCAAAGGGCTACTTGAATGTTCTCACATCAGCAGGTGATCTGAAGGAAGGCTGAGGCCACAATGACTCTTACGACCTAGGCTTCCAAGTTATACATTGTTACTTTACCTTATTCTGTTCATTACCTGTGAGCCACTAATTTAGCCCATACCTAAGAAGGGGAGAATTAGGCTCCATGTTTTAAAAGGAGTGTCAGTAAATTTGTAGAAATATTTTAAAACATCACAGTATTTATGTGTATCTGTGTGGGCTTTCTATTTCCTGTTTTATTCAACTGGCTATTAAAATCCAAAGTTGTCATCTATTTTGATCTTCAGATTATCCCCACTTTGACCAGTGAGAACCATTTCAACCTGGCCTCTCTTTTTTTGACATATTCTTGTCATTTTTTAAACACCTTCTTGCTTTCTGGTGTAAGATGTTTAAGACTTATTTTTTTAATTAAAAATTGATATATAATTCACATCCTGTAATATTTACTCTTTTAAAGTGTATAATTCAGTGGCTTTTAATTATCACAAAGTTGTGTGACTATCACTACTATCTAGTTCCAGGATATTTTCATCACTTCAAAAAGTAACCCTGTACCCATATCAGCACTTACTCCTCATTCTCTATTTCCCAGCTTCTGGTAATCACTGATCTACTTCCTGTCTCTATGGATTTGTCTATTCTGGACAATTCTTACAAATACAATCATGCAACATGTAGCTTTTGGTGTCTACCTTCTTTCACTTAGCATACTATTTTCATGGTTTATTTATACAGTAGTATGAATTATTACTTCATTCTTTTTGTGGTTGAATAATTTTCCATTCTATGGATATATATCACATTTTGTTTATTCATTAATTCATTGAAGGACATTTGGATGGTTTCTTACGTTTTGGCTATAATGTATAATGCTACTATGAACTTATGTCTTTGTGTGAACATTTATTTTAAGTTCTCTTGGTTTCCAAGATTGTCTTTTGTTTTCTCTTGCCCACTGCCAGAATCAGCTATTTCTCCAAAGAGCTTTGGCTTTCCCCAGTGGAGACTTAGAAGCCAAGAGTTGCTCATTAGTTGTGCTCATTGCTATTGGATATCATTGGTTTTAGGCCATTTTAGTGACTAGTGCTAAGGAATATTATATATGTGTGTGTGTATATACCTGTAAATGCATGCATACTTGCATATTCATATATATGTGCATCTTTACACACATATTTATGTCTATTCCATATATATTGAAAACCATAAAGTCACAGTAATACCCGCCATCCCAATTTAGCACGACAGGGTTCACTCTAGTTTTCTTCCTTTCCATATGTGTATTTCTATTCTCTGAGTAACTACCACCTGTCATTCTTAATTATTTGATCAGTCCCCTGTTGGTAACTAATTTCCCTCTCTGCTGCAGCCCTCTTCTGTGAAAATGCCTCTCTTACCTCTCTTGGGCTCTGTCTGACACTCTAGACCCAGCTGCCTTTCTTCATGGACACCCTCTGTATCCTGTTCAGGCTCTATTCCATGCCACATTGACCCCCACATGGTTATGCTCCTACCCTGGTCAGGGTTCCATATCCCACACTAGGCCACCTCTCCATTTGGATCCCACCTTCACCCTGCTTGTACTCTGACTTCTTCTGATGCCAGGCCAATGCTCATATGGATCTTCCTTATCCTGCTTGTGCTCCTGCACCTCACTCTAGGCCACCTCTCCATGTGGACACCCTCATTTCCCTGCTCTGACACCCCACTATAAATAACCTCCTCAACTTCCTATGGCTCTGATACTCTACACCACACTGCCCCTTCATGTCCCTTGCACTTCCTGGACTCTGTCACCCAAACCAGAGCACCTTCACACATTTATACCTCACCACATTTGGATTCCAGTCGCCACCCCCTCCACCTGGATGTCTACCTTATCTCAAATAAACCCTGACTCTTCCTCTCTGGGCCAACATGTCTCTCTTTCCCTCCTGGCAGAGATTCCTACCATGAACTGTGCTGTGCTTTAGGATTGAATTGTTTAGGAAGGAAAGAGGAAAAACAGCTCTTTTGCCTTATCTTGAACTATTAACTGTTGTTGGGTTTTTTTGCACTTCCTTCACATTTGTCTCCTTTTCTTTGAATAGTTAAAATTAGCTTTTTCTAATTTCCATCTCACAAATTTATTGCATAATTTTGTACTTATGTCATTCTTTTCCTTTTTAAAAAAAATATGTTTCCAGCTAGGTTGACTGGTTATGATTTTTATAAGTAGATAAGTATTTTTTCCCTAAACTACCATGAAAAATTGTTACCCTGTCAGGAAGAAATTACTAAATAAGTAAAAGTTGCCAAATGTCTGAGGCTAATTCATATACCAGAGTTTTATCCTGATAGACTTCCACCTAATTCCAAGGTTGCTATAAAAATATGCAGCATTTTTGTATGAGGAAAGACAGATGTCTAGGAAATCATTATGTGTTAGTATTAGATCTCCCACTTGTGATATGTTTTCATCATTTTTTAATATGGAAAGCATTTTCTTTTAAACTAAGCATCACCATATTTCATATGAATTGTATATCAGATCAAGGTGCAAATAGCTGGAAAATTTATATCAGCGTGAAGTTTTTAGGATGATTATGTAAGAACTCAACAAGTTGGTTAAAACCGTATTTCTACTGTGAAAACACCTTTCAGATGCTTCTGCCCAGTTTTCCTTCATAGTCAGATGCTTTGGGAGCTGGTACTGTTGGGGGAGCCCCTTGTGGTCATGGCACCATCACCTTCAGAGTCTTCAGAGACTGTACTGGCACTTGTTAAGTGAGTATATATATATATATATATATATATATATATTGTTCATTATGGTGATACTCACAGCGCTTTCCCATCTGTTATATGTTTGTGTGTCCATTGCATTTATCCACACAACAGCCTTGTAAGAAGGTAGTGCTCATTATAGCACCAATTGATGGATGAGAAAATTAATTCAGGCTTCATGAGGGCTCAAACCATGTTCTTGATTTTCTGCACAACAAGCACATTCATTCACTTACACCCATGATTTTTCAACTGTTGTGCTGCAAGAATTTTAAAAACATGCAATACCTGACCATTTAGTTGAGGACACTGACCTCTTTTCCCTTAGATGGTTAAATTAAAAAATGATTAACAGGCGATACAACAGTAGTCATGAGGTGTGAACAAATCTAAATTATACCAGCCCTCTCCTCAGGAGCACACCAGCGCCTTTCCTTTCCCCCTCTTCTTCCCCCCAGGCACATGTTACTGTTGCCTTTCCCTCCCTTTAAACTCCATGGGCTCTTCTTTTGCTTTTGTAACTTGTTTCCTGGGCCTATGGAGCCCAGGGGGCTCACTTCTGTTACCTCTGTAACTTCCTAAATAAACTTTCTCTTATAATTTGAAAAAAATAATTCTGTTTTGTCAGATTGGTAAAAAATATTGGGTTGGCCAAAAAGTCTGTATGTTTTTTTTCTATAAAATAAAACACATTTTTCATTTTCACAAATAACTTTATTGATTTGGATATTGAGTATGTTGGCTATCTCCCACATGGTATCACATTGATTGTTCTTAGTCAATGTCTTGATTTGATTGCCATCAACTTCAACTGGTCTACCTGACTGTGAAGCATTGTCCAGAGAGAAATCTCCAGCACGAAACTTTGCAAAAACACTTGTAACATGTTTGATCAGTCACAGCACCTTCTCCATACTCTGTACAAATCTTTTATGCGTTTCAGCTGCGTTTTTACTTTCCTTGAAATAATAAAGCATAATATGCCAGAACCATGTGTATTTTCTTCCATTTTCAGTGTTAAAATGGCTACACAAAAATTCACCAATTTTGATGTTTTTTTTAAATGCATGCCGATATGACAGCTCTCATGATACAGTCTAACAAAATTATTTGAATGAGCTTAAACACAACTAAACACTACTAGAGCCATCTTATGGCAAAAACCAAATGAACTTTTTGGCCAACCCAATATAGTATATTTTTTGGTGTGCTGCAGGATTCTAGTAATTAGCTTATATGGGCCATGAGATGAAAATGGTTGAAAATTGCTGACTTACATGAAGTTGGTATCTGATAAATATTAGTTGCATGAATGGTCAGTGTCTCATGAAAGGTATAAAACTAGTCAATGACAGAACCAGAATTTCATCCCATCTTCTGCCCCAAGTCCAGTGTTCTTTCAGTATGCCATCTCACATTATATATTTCCATTTGCTTTCTAGTTTTCTGAAATGAGTTTACCATTTATTGAAGTAGATAAATTTTCCTATTGGGGGGTATATTGTGTATATGGATGTTTTATAGGTATTGAGCATGGCCTTTAATTTTTGTGTCCTTTGTTTTATATATTTTCTTGCTCCACAGCTGTATTTCTCCATTGAAGTACTTCAGTGATTTCCGACCTTATTTCACTATTCATGATAGTGAATTCAAAGAATATACTACCCGTACTCAAGCCCCGTAAGTAAACAAAGTAGCTTTTATTAAGCAATTATAACCTTTATAAACAAATTATATAAAATAATTTTTGGTAATAATTTAAAAGTTTAAATTTTGAACTTATTGGCAGATTGATTTTATAAAGGAAGGTTTAAGGAGCTGCTGGCTCACATTTTAAATCAATATCTTATTTTCCTTGATTTATTAGTGGGAGCTGTATTATTAGTGGCCATCTAGCTGTACTTTCAGTTTTGTCTTCCTTTAATACTTCAGGACTTCAAATTGCATCAGTTATCTCTTCCTGCTCTGTAACTTCTTTTCCTTCCTCTTTGTTGAATCTGTATGTAAACATGAGAATTCTTCCTAGTCTGTAAATAGGGGAAAATTATCTTACCCTTCCCCTTTAAGCTCCTGCTATATTACTTGCCTTCTTTTCATAGATAAGTGTCTAGGGTAACAAAATAATAATAACCATTTCTTGGTTTCCTGGTTGCTTCTCAGTCCATTGCAGGTTGATTTCTCCATCTCCACTGAAGTTGTTCTTGACTAAGTCAACAATTCCCATCTCCCTGCTTGATCCAGTGGGTATATTATTGCCCCATTTTTTCTGCTTTCCCCTTCTTGTAACATTTAAGATGCTGACCTTGAAAATATTTTAATCCCTGCTACCACTCTCACCTGGTTGTCTGGTGGCACATCTCACTATCCTGTGCAGTCTTTTCTTTCTCTGGTGACCCCTTAGGTGTTGGTGTTTCCAGTGTTGTGTTTTGGGTTCTGATTTCAGACTAATGATTTTTTCTGTACAATCTTATTTGTACCCACAGCTTCTGTTAAAACCTTTATACTGATGACTGAAGTTTATGTTCCCAACCAAGATCTGTATAAGGTCCAGGTCTGTACATCCAGGTTTAATTTATTTTTAACCACATTGCTACCTGGACATCTTAATGGCAACTAAAACAAAACACATTCAAACTGAATTCTTTCTGTTCTTCTTTTTCTTCAGAAATCCCAGGCCTCTTACCATTTTTCATGAACAGTACCACTTTTTGTTTAGCTACCAAAATCTAAATTGTCATAAATTTCTCCTTGATATGGTGCACGTTGTTTTACCAAATTGTGTCAATTCAGTATCCTAAAATAGTTCTTATAGCATGTTATTTTCTTTCCAAAACTCTCTTCCCAGTCCTACTGTCTTTTTATTATATTTGCTGTTGCTTTTTCTCAAACCTCTTTCCTTCCTTGTAGGGTATCGTCTGAATATTCCCCAAAGTAACTTTTCTAATAGGTATATTTTCATTCACGTGGCATTTCTGTACTCAGTTCTCTAGAAGCTTCCATTTGCCTACCAGATAACATTTAAACTTCTTAGCATATTAACTTGGTACTTAGTGATCTGGTCAGCATATGCCCAATTATTGTTATTTCTGACTAGTCATCTTTCCTGCTTCGTGCTTTAAGAATGCTGAACTGTCTGTAGTTCTACAAATAGATCATGATCTCACTTCACTGCTTTGCACATACTCTTTATTCTCATGCATCACGTTTACCATCTATCCACTTGGCAGAGACCTCCTATTCATCTTTCACATCTTTGTGCGAATGTCATCTATTTGAGGAGGTCATCCTTTAATCCCCAGGAGACATAGTGTCTCCTTTGTAATTATTGTACATTTTATACTACCTTCACTGTCTTATGATTTCTAGCATCATAATTTAGTATATATATCCTTTTAACTCTGTAGTTTTAGAAGGACTGTGTCTTTTCATCTTTATATGCCCAGTGCTAAACATGGTATCTGACATGTAGTTCATATGTAATACATTGAATGAAAGAAAAGGTAATCTGTTTATTGTTCACTTAGAGGAAATTATAAACTTTTCTTCACTGATGGAATGTTCATCTTTTTCTCACTTTTTTAAATTTTATTTTATTTTATTTTTTATGTAGGCCTTCAGTCATATTAGGAGTAACCAACCCCTTTTTTGCAAAAACACTTCAGCACTGGCCACACATTATTCGAATAGGAGACCTTAAACCAGCAGGTAAAGTATAAATTCAGTGTTCTGCTTTTTTGTGTGTAATGTTGCTGAACAGGTTTATTTCTTCCCCTTTGTTTTTTATTTTTTAGTTACTTTTTATGTTGAGGGCAACCTTCTTGAGGCAGCCTGAATAAGGGCCTTTGGAAAAGAACCTAACTTCTCACTAAAATATATATGTGGAACCCATCGTTCCTCCTACCGAAAAATGTACTTACAGCATTATAAACATGGAATGAATTATAGCAAAATGAAACCTAAAAAACCCGAGCTACTTTTAGCCCTGACTGGCATAGCTCAGTGGATTGAGTGTGGGCTGCAAACCAAAGCATTGCAGATTTGATTCCAATTCAGAGCACATGCCTGGGTTGCGGGCCACATCCCCAGTGGGGGCCCCGTGAGAGGCAACCACACATTGATGTTTCTCTCTCTCTCTTTCTCCCTCCCTTCTCCTCTCTAAAAATAAATAAGCAAATCTTTAAAAAAAATTTTTTTTAAATTTGAGCTACTTTTTACATATGGGTAACTCAATTAAAAAGAGATTTCCAACACTGAGTAAAACTTTATAGAAGCTCAAAATATTCAATTTGGTATAAAGTTTTTGGTTAGGTCTCAAAATAGGTAGTATACACTTTTGTGGTATTGGTATTGATTAAAGAATTAGTCAAAGGTTGTGCTTTCCTTGAGAAAATAAGATATATATACCTTGCTCATGATAACTTATTTTTTTTTTTAACAAGAGAACAAATCCACTTTTCAGTAAGTTTAAATTCTCCTGGAGTACAACATTACGTATGGATTCTGTGTCCAATGGCTTTAGTAAGACGATTGCTTCTGAATTGGCACAAACTATGCCACTATTTCCATGAACACAAGTTACCTTTCCCCAGGTTACTCAGTTTGCCACCAAGTGTCACTCTGATGTTCTTTACTTTTGTACACGTCAGCACATCTGCCTAGATGGAATTCCGTTTCATTCTGAGCATAAACACCCCAGGTTTAAGAACAGCTCTGTGCTCACTCTGGTTCTAGAGAGCCCACTTGTAGCCAGCAATAATGGCTTTGGACCACAGCCTTCCAGACATATTTGTCATTTTAGAAGTTTTGGTCTCAGTACGCCTCCACAGACTCCAAAATGGTAGAAGGAGCCATGATAGCTGTTTAAATAGTGTTTGTAAATGAAAAATGAACTCTGAGGTTAGAAGTTTTGTTAACTTAGATGACAGTTTAATGGTACTTCTGACATTCCTTACTGGACAGCCCTGAATTTTCCATTGAAGTAGTTGAGACTTGAGATTTTGAAAATATTTTAAAATAACTTTATGATGTGATACTTGGAAATCTTTTCTTGCCCTGGTGGGTGTGCCTCAGTGGATTGAGTGCTGGCCTGCGAACCAAAAGGTCACTGGTTCAATTCCCAGTCAGGGCACATGCCTTGGTTGCAGGCCAGGTACCCAGTTTGGAGGCATGAGAGAGACAACTAATCGATGTTTCTCTCTCACTCTTTTCTCCCTCCCTTCCCCTTTCTCTGAAAATAAATAAAATCTTTTTAAAAACCCATTTGGTATATACAGATATATTTAAAACATTATTTAATAATATTATTTTCTAAGCTATCCCTTCTAGTATATACATAAATCTAAATTATTATTACTAGAGTCAGAATAACATTTTAAATCATATTATTTACAAATATTAGACTCAATTTTAAACTGAAATTCTTAGATGCCTTATGTAATGGAGGACAGAGCATAAGATTTCACTCTGGCAGTTAGATATATGTGATCTTAGGCAGAACAACCTCCTTAAGCCTCAAACACTACGTCTGCTAGATTAAACACAGTGCCTGACTCATGGCACTCTGTAAATGTCATGGTCTCCTGCCATCTCACCAGTGTCCTGTCTATTAATGATAACTGAGAGCACAGCAGTCACCAGAGTCTTAGCTAAAAGAAGATATGAAAAGTTTTTTCAATCTTAATTTAATCTTGACATTTACTTTAATGCATGGTTTTATCCTATTAATATAGACTCTTTGGTTAATTGTAATATAGTTAGTTTACTAATAGTTTACTATATATTGCCTTTTTCCAGTGGAAAAAAGGCTCATTGTTGGGGATGTAAGTAGAGGAACTTTTACATAAAATTGGTAAAGTAACATAAATTGATAAATCTGTTTAACTTTTTAAGAAATGCCAAACTATTTTCTAAAGTGGGTCATCATTTTAGATTCTTACCAGCAGTGTGTGATGGTTTTTATTTCTTCACATCCTTGCTAATATTTGATATTGTCTGTCTTTCTCATTGTAGCATTTAGCGGGTTTTGCTTCCCTAGTGATTAATGATGTTGAGTATCTTTTCGTCTACTTATTAGTTATTCATATATCTTCTTTGATAAAATGTTGAATTAAATCTTATGCCCATTTTAAATTGGATTACTGTCGTATTTAGTTGTAAGAGATCTTTATGTGTTTTGGACACAAGTCTGCTTTCAGATATATGACTTGCAAATATTTTCTCACAATATGTGTCTTCTCTTTTTGTTTTCTTAGTGTGTATTTTGAAGCACAGAAGTATACTTTTTCCCCTTTTATTGAGATATAATTGACAAACAGCACAATATGAGTTTAAGGTATACAACACAATGACCTAACTTAACCTGTATGGTAAAGGATTACCACTAGTTTAGTTAACATCTATCATCTCATATGGATGTTAAAAGGAAAGAAAAAAACATTTTTTTTTCTCATGATGAGAACTCTTAGGAGTTATACTCTTAAGAACTTTTAAATATGCCATACAGCAGTGTTAACTTTAGTCATCATGTTGTATATGACATCCCCAGTAATTATTTACCTTATAACTGAAAGTTTGTACCTTTTAGCCCTGGCTGGTGTAGCTCAGTGGATTGAGCGCGGGCTGCAAACCAAAGCATCGTAGGTTCAATTCCCAGTCAGGGCACATGCCTGGGTTGTGGGCCAGGTCCCCATTGGGGGCCACATGAGAGGCAACCCCACAATGATGTTTCTCTCTCTCTCTTTCTCCCTCCCTTCCCGTCTCTAAAAAGTAAATAAATAATAAAAACAACAACAAAAAAAGTTTGTACCTTTTGACCACCTTTGTCCAATTTCCCCAACCCTTACCTCTTCCTCTCGTAACCACAAAAATGTGTTTAATATTTGATAAGTCTAGCTGATCAATATTTTTCTTTTGTGGAGAAGCCTTTTGATCTTGTGTCTAAGAATTCATTGCCTACCCAATGTCACCAAGATTTTCTCCTGTTCTTCTAAAAGTTTTATTATGTTAGCACTTATATTTAGGTCTGTGAATCACTGAGTTATTTTTTGTTATGATGTGGGTTAAATGTCTAAACTCATTGTTTTTGCATGATCATATCTAGTCCTAGCACCATTTGTTGAAAAGACTATCCTTTTTCCATTGACTAACATTGGTACCTTTGTGGAAAATCAATTGGCCATAAATATAAGGGTTTATTTCTGAACTCTTGTCCTGTTGCATTGACCTATATGTCTTATCTTTACAGCAATACAATGGCTTGATTACTGTAGTTTTATAGTAAGTTTTAAAATCTGGAAATGATATAATTTTAAAACAATTTTTAAATTATATTTTATTCATTATGCTATACAGTTGTCCTCATTTTTACCCCCTTTGCCTACTTTCCACCCAGCAGTCCCTACTTCCTCAGGCCATCCTTCCACCATTGGTTATATCCATGGGTCATCCATATAAGGTCTTTGGATACTCCATTTCCTGTATTATACTTTACATCCCCATGACTATTCTGCAACTACCTAGTTGTACTTCTTAATCCCCTCACCTCTTCACCCATTCCCCCACACCCCCTCCCATCTGGCAACCAACAAAATGTTCTTTGTATCCATGATTCTGTCTGTGTTCTTCTTGTTTGGTTAGTTTGTTTTTTAGATTCAATTGTTGATTGATTTTTATTTTTTGTCATTTTATTGTTCACAGTTTTGATTTTCTTCTTTTTCTTAAATAAGTCCCTTTAACATTTCATGTACTAATGGTTTGGTGATAATGAGCTCCTTCAGTATTTTCTTGTGTGGAAAGCTCTTTCATTCTAAATGATAGCTTTGCTGGGCAGAGCAGCCTTAGCTGTAGGGCCCTCCTTTTCATGACTTTGAATATTTTTTGCCAGTCCCTTCTAGCCTGCAAAGTTTCTTTTGAGAAATCAACTGACAGTCTTAGGGGAACTCCCCTGTAGGTAACTAACTTTTTTGCTCTTGCTGCTCTTAAGATTCTATCTTTAACTTTTGACATTTTAATTATGATATGTCTTGGTGTGGACTTGTTTGTATGCATCTTGTTTGGGACTCTGTACTTCCTGGACTTTCACGTCTATTTCCTTCACCAAATTAGGGAAGTTTTCTTTTATTATTTTTTCAAATAGATTTCCAATTTCTTGCTCTTTCTCTTCTCTTTCTGGCACCTCTATGATGTGAATGTTGGATCTCTTGAAGTTATCCCAAAGGCTGCTTATACTATCCTCATTTTTTTGGATTCTTTTTTCTTCTTGTTGTTCTGATTGGTTGTTTTTTGCTTCCTTAGGTTCCATATCATTGATTTGAATCTCGGCTTCATCCACTCTACTGTTGTGTTTTATTCCAATTAGTATATCCTCCATTTCTGATTGGATCTTTTTTATGCTGTTAAGGTCCTCACTAAGTTCCTTGAGCATCCTTATAACCAGTGTTTGGAACTCTGCATCTGATAGATTGCTTATCTCTATTTCGTTTAGCTCTTTCTCTGGAGTTTTGATCTTTTCTTTCATTTGGGCCATGTTTCTTTAACTCCTCGTTTTGGCAGCCCCCCGCCCCCATGTTTGTTTCTATGTATTAGATAGAGCTGCTTTGACTCCCTGTCTGGATAGCGTGGCCTAATATAGTCCAGTGGCACCACCTCTCCTATCACCCAAGCTGGGTATTCGAGGTGCTGAGTACACCCTCCTCTTGTAGTTGAGCCTTGGTTGCTGTTGGCAGGTCAGTGGGAGGGATGTACCCAGGCCAGTCAGCTGCAAGGACTGGCTGTGACCACTTACCACCAACCTCCACCCTCTGTGGAGGATCAGGTGTGCAGGGGCAGGATGGTGGTGCTCTGATGTAGTCTATAGTTGTCCACAGGCCCTGGGGCCCTGGGGTTTCCCAGGTGATGAAGGCAAAGTTCAGCCCTCACTGTGTTTTGCCCAGGGCCACCTTACCTGAGCTTTAAAGCAGTCTAAGGTGAGGCTGCTACCTGTGCTGGGCTTGGAGATTCCCAGGCGAAGCCAAGCTGTTAATCTAGGCTGGCTGCTGCTAGTACACAGACTGGGGCTCACTGAGGCCACCTGTTGCTTGTTTGATAGGATTTAGGAAGTTGTGAAGCTTGATCTGAGACCGGCTATTCATATGGAAAAGCAGCTTGGGTGGGGTGGGATGGAGTCCCTGGAGATCTCCAAGGCTGGTCAAACAGCCAGGTTGATGGATTTTCAGATATGGCACCTGCTTGCCAGCTCTGTGGAGGGAGGATTTAGAAATGGGACAAGGGCCTCTGCATCCCTTGGTGCCAGACACTTCAGTTTTTCCGTGTGTACCACTAATACCTTTCAAGATGCTACTCTGGTGCTAGAGCTCAGAGAGAGTGAGTCTGAGTAGGTGAGTCCGTGTGTGGGTTCTTTAAGAGGAACTGCTTAGGGCTCCAGAAGTTTCTTCCACCAACTCAATCCCCACTGGTTTTTACAGCCAGAAGTTGTGGGGACTTGTCTTCCTGGCACTGGAACCCTGGGCCTGGGGTCTATGTGGAGCTGACACTCCTCGCTCCCAAGATATCCCTCCCCAATTTTTATCTATTACACGTGGGTGAGGGACCAGTCTGTTCCATATCTGCACCCCTCCCAACCAGTCTGGATGGATGTGGTTTCTTTAATTCCATATTTGCCAGACTTCCATTCAACTTGATTTCTGATGGTCTGAGTGATGGTGGTTCTATATTTTAGTTGTAGTTTTGATGTGGTTGCACAAAGAGGCGAGCTATGTCTCCCTATGCTGCTATTCTGACCAGAAATCTGGAAGTATAATACTTTTTACCTTTTTTTTTCCCCAAAATTGTTTTGGCCATTCTTGGTATTTTGCATTCCATATACATTCTAAGATCACTTTGTCATTATGCAAAAAAGGCAGCTTGGATGTTGATAGGGATTGTGTTGGATATGTAATCAATTTGGGAGAGAATTTCCATCTGAAAACTACTGATTCTTCCAATCTGGGAAGTTGGAATGTTTATTCATTTTTAAGATGATCTTTAATTTTTCTCAGCAGTGTTTTATAGTTTTCAATATGCAAGTCTAATCATGATGTTAGATGTGGGTTTTTCATAAATATCCTTTAATCAGGTTCAGGAAGTACCTTTCTGTTACTAGTTTGTTGAGAGTAATTATCATGAATTAGTGCTGAATTTTGTTAAACATTTTTTATGTCTATGGAAATCATTATGTGGGTTTGTCTTGTTAACATGTTATATTGTATTAGTTGATTTTTGGATGTTAAACATTAAACCAACATTACTTAGTTAAATCCTGTTTGGTCATGGGGTATGGTTCTTTTTTATGTTTCGGGATTTGATTTGCTAATATTCTTGTTGAGGATTTTCTCCTCTGTATCCATGAGGGATGTCCATATACAGGTTTTTTTCTTGTGATATTTTGTCAGCTAATACTACTCTGAGAAATCTCTTCAGGCAGGTTAAGTTACCACTTAAAAGACCTAAGACCAAGGGAGGGGAAGGGAATGAGAAAGGAAAAGAGAAAGACGGCCTGTTATATTTTGTGTATGTATGACACTTTAAGTGTTTAACTTGAGGTATTTTTTGCTAGTTAGGGTGGTTTTGATTGTAGCTTCTTCATACCTTAAGACTAGAAGCACTACATATTGTACAGGAGTTGTTCATAGCAGCCCTGCTCTAGAGTCCTGTCCATCTGTGAATCAGACCTGTGGTTGTGGCATACTGTCACCACCTGATAGCAGTGTAAGTTTCTATAATGCAAAAGCAGAATTTTGGGAGGTATCAGAGAAAACTTTTTGAATACTATATCTGCATTCTAATTTAGAAGTTGCTTTTAATTCCATTTACTCTTAAAGGGTATTTTATTTACATTGGTACATATATTTGCATTATTATGATTTTGGCACAAATATCTTAAATTACAAGTTGACTAACAAGGGAAAATTTTAAGTAATGATAGATATTAATGAAAGATCAAGTGCCCATTTTATATAATTTACACAGATTGCTTCTGTAATACTGTAATATTCCAGTATTCCCTTTATCTTGTTTTAAAGTACCAGTAATAAGTTCTTAAACATTAATTGATGTTAGAAAGGATACATTAGCTACAATATTCTTGACTAAATAGTAAATAGTCAGTGGATTATTAATCTTATAAAATTCTAGTTCTGTGATGTGAAATTTGAATAATTCTAAGAATCTTTTTGATGTTTCCTTCAGGAGAAATTCCTAAGCAGGTTAAAGTGAAAAAATTGAAGAACCTAAAGACTCTGGATTCTAAACCTGGTATTGACTTTTATTAATTTAAAAACTATACATATATGGGTGCTTGGTAAAAAACAGAAACTTTTTACCTTGTTTTCTTTACTTCTTAGGAGTTTATACTTCTTATAAGCCATATCTAAGTAGAGATGAAGAGATCATAAAACAATTACAGAAGGTAATTATTTGCTCATATTATTAATTTAAATTTTCTTATTTAAGTATGCCATATCCAATTAGGTAATGCGTGCTTTATTTATAATGATGTGAAATGAGGTCTCTGTTTTGAACCAAAGCTTCATAAAAATCAGGAGACTACAGTAGCAGCAATTAAGGGCTTAAAATTGGGAACTGCAGCTGCAAACTAGTGCCAGTCTTCCTAGGTACTAGGAAGTTATAGTGAAAAAGTGGACTTTTGCACAAAGTCACTTAGCATGTAACAGTAGGGGATAGCTAGGTAGCATTTTTTGGAAAATGTGAAAGTATTAATATAATGAATATGAAATAAAGACAGTCTTCATTGTGAACCGATATTTTTAAATATGGGATGAATGTTTTATGTTTTTCTTTAAGAATTTTTTCCATAGTATATTACATAATGAATTTCAGATTAAATTACTTTAAGATGAAGTTCTAGGGTTTTGTTTTATATGAAGTAATATATATGTATGTATATATATACAAATTATTATATCAGTTGAACTTTTGTAAGTATCCATTGTTTTATATTCCCCAACACTAAAATATAGGTTCTTACTGTTTCTTCTTTTAAGGGTGTACAACAGAAACGTCCTTCTGAGGCTCAGAGTGTTATTCTGCGACGCTATTTCTTGGAACTGACACAAAGCTTCATCATACCATTAGTAAGTTAACATACATTTACTTAAGTTAGTGATTTGTTGAGGGGTATATGAATGTTTTTCCCATCCACCAAAACTTTATCTTAATGTGTGTGTTTTGTCTGCTCATGTGCTTGGTGATTAAAAAAAAATAGAGTCCTTTGCAAAAGGCCTGGACTCTGTTCTTGTATTAACTGTGTAACTTTGGGGAGTCACTTTCTTTTTCTCACCCTCAATTTCTTTATCTGTAAAATGTAGCTAATTACACTTTTTCCTAAATACCTTTCAGGTTGTTGTGAATACCTTAAATGAAATAATTACAGTAAAATGTTATGTATTTGTTGCATTTTGCACCTTAATATGTTATCCTGTAGCTTCTTTCTCTGATTTTATTTTCTTGAGCACAATTTGATATCATAACTATAGCTCCATGATGACAGGGGTCTTATCTGTCTGTTTATTATCTTTTTCTCAGTTTGGTATATGGTAGCATTCAGTAAGTATTTATGGAATAAATCATTGAATGATGTGATTATTTCATGAAATTCTTTGGAAATCATTAAAAATACTAAGTAAAGCCTCACAGAACCAGGCAGTACCATGATGTCCTAGTATGCAGACTGGATCAGAGAGAGATTACATGTAGTTATTAATGTAAAGTAACCTATCTGTGAATACTATATGGGGCTAAACTGGAGATCTTTGCTATTATATTTTTGGAAGAAACACTCTTTCTTGGTCTGTGGATGTCAGTTTGTTTTATTCCATTGAAATTTGTTTACATAAATGAACTTTTCTGTAGCACTTAAGTGCATGGGCTAAAGTCAGGTAGACCTGAATTCAAGTTTAAATTGTGTGACCTTGGTCAGGGTACTTAGCCTTTTGAAACCTTAGGTTCCCAATAATACCTGCCACATAGGATGGTTGCAAGGATTAAAAGAGGTTATACATTTTAAATATTGAGTGTATTTTCTGGAACATAGTTATTCAGTATAGTTAAGTATTATCTTTAAGAATGTATAGTCCATTTGGGTTAGCCAAGATTTAGCTATGTTTTTATTGAAAGTCTGACTTCTTAATTCAGTCTGAATTTAGCTTTATCATTGTGAAGAGTGATAGTGTTGTTGATGTCCTTTGAAAGACCATATGATGAAAACCTTGGAAAACCATTGCCTTTAAGTAGGTCTATTTTAGTGTTTTGGAAGACTCTGAGTAAGAACACCTAACTTAATTCACTTTATTTTCTTGGTTTTAGGAAAGATATGTGGCAAGCTTGATGCCTTTGCAGAAATGTATTTCTCCATGGAAGGTATAAATATATTCCATTAAATTCCTGTTTGAGTCCTCTAACTGTAGTAATTTGTGAACATACCCATTTCTAATTTTAAATATAGTATGTTCTTTTTTTCTAGAGTCCCCCCCAATTAAGACCATTCTTTCCAGAAGAATTTATGAAAACACTTGAGAAAACAGGACCTCAGTTGACCTCTAGAATAAAAGGTGATTGGATTGGACTTTACAGGTTAGTCTTCTTTATATTCTTTTTTACCCATCTGTAGAGCTTTATTTAAAAAAAAAAAAAACTGGACTTAAACTTATATTCTTTTATTCAAAATTCCATTGTTTCACATGGTTCTTCAGTATTAGGAAAGATATTAAGGAGAGGAAGTAAATAATAATCAAACTGCTATTTTAAAAATTATTTTTATAGGCATTTTCTAAAATCCCCAAATTTTGATGGTTGGTTCAAGACCCGGCGGAAGGAAATGACCCAGAAATTGGAGGCGCTCCATCTAGAAGCTCTTTGTGAAGAGGTTAGAGCACAGCATATTTGTGTGATATTAACAACTATAAAAAGAAAAGATAGTTATCCTTAGAGGCTGGGAGGCTATCCATAGCTACTACTTGATAAATAGTAATTGCTAACTTTTCTAGATCATGTGCTATATGCCAAGGACTGTGTAGGTGCTCTATGCAGATAATGTCTTTTAATTTTCACATTTCATTGAAGTAGGTGTGTTATGATCTGCATTATGGGACATCTGAGGATTATAAGTTAAGTTACTTGTTTCAGATCACATCACTGCTAAGTAAGGCAGCTGGCAGTGAGCTAGAGCCCACTTCACATGGCTCATAAGGGTTGACTATACATCTCTTCCCCACTCTGCATTCAGTGATCTCAGGTTAGTAGTTTGAAATTGGTTACAGTGAGAGTATCACACCACAGAAATTGGCAAATGGTACAAACCAGGGACTTTACTGGTGGTTAAATTTTCCAGCATACCAGTGGGTGGAGTCAGGATTCAAATTCAAGCAGTATAACTCGAGATTTTTTCCAGGATGCCATATTAACCTCTTCCAGTTGCTACTAACAGTTTTTTTCCTGTGTTTGGACTGACTTTTTATATTCTATAACATGTTACCAGACTGTTTTAATTTAAGTGAATATATAAAGGACATTCTCATTTTCATTTGTATTTAGCTTGAGATGGGCTAGCCTCAGTGTTTACTTTCTATCACAAACTCATGGTGATTGTGGTTTTAAGAGAAGGAATATGATGAAGACAATCACAGATAAGTCCAGGAAGAGCTTATGTGAAGATGCAAAGTTTACATTCAGTGTTATGTTTATGTCCACAGTTATCTTCGTTTGTTAGCCAATGTTCTTATAAATTTGAGTATTTACTACTTAGTGGGGTAGGGGTGAGTATTGTATTTTAAGTTGCAGTATTGTTTTTCATGATGGATCTAAAAGGGCTACCTCAAAAAAGAAGTTGTTACATTTTATTTTACTGCCAAATATTCGACAGTGTCCTGGCTAATGAAAATTATCTAATTAATGTTATTAGACTATTACATATAGAATTAGTTTTGTACTGTCATGCTATATCTGGGTTAAATAGCCTGTTCTCTTTTTCCTTCTTGTCCTTCTTATTAGTTTTATCTATTGAAATAGAACAATTTGAAAATGATTTTGATACTTAACTGATTTGTCTATTCTTCTAGGACTTACTTCTCTGGACCCAGAAACACACAGAAGTAGAAACAGTAGACCTTGTATTGAAGCTGAAAAGTAAGCTGGTATGTAGCCAAAACAGCCAAAGATCTGTGTGGATATTTTCTTCACTTTTCAGGTGACAGTCCATGATATATCAGACATAACCTTTTTAAATGAGAGGACTTGAGATCGGTCGATTGATGGTAGATCTGACTGAAAATACTTGGTCACGCAAGCAGATCATAATGATGCCATATTATTTTAAAGGTATTTGCATGGGGTCTAATGAGCTCTACAACATCTTTGTCACTTACATTTAATACCACATGGTATGTGTTAAGTATTATCAGTTTATGTAGAAGTCTTTTATTGAGCTCAAGCAATATATTGTTTAAGTGGCATATTCTTTCCTTTTTTAGTTTCTGTAAATTCTGGTTGAAGTTTGAAGTTTCCAAATATTAGACCATTAAAAATGTGTATTTAGAAAACACAGTGTATTAAAACAGACTCAGAAGATAATTTAAATGCGTTCAAATGTTCCTTGTGTAGTTGCAGGCTGATCGAGAGCATTTACCTGTGAAACCTGAAACTGTGGAAAAGTTACGGACACACATAGACAGAATTATCTTAGCATTGCCAGAGGACCTACAAGGCATACTACTCAAAACAGGCATGACATGATAACTGCCAGGATTTTCCAGCCAAAAGGACTGTGTGTGCATCATGAAGCATACTGACATTTCTATTGGACTCACAAAGGAGATCTCCTGGAGTGGAAAATAGCCGTAAATGCTAGCTAGCAGCAGGGTGGAAAGGCTATACTGACTTTTTTAGTGCATTATTTTAAAAAATGGATATCCGAAGGCATTTCTATATTTTTAATCATGTTCTAAAGTGCTCTTATGAGAGACCTGTGGGGCCATCAGTATAAGTGATTCCAAACTGCAATGCTGGCATTGCAGATATTTTTTTAAATTGGTGCTGTTTTGCCCAATCATGTTAAACTCAGGGGGATATAAAAATAATGTTCACACTGGCTATCTTCTTAAGAAGAAGGAAAAGACTGAATTGTCTGACTGTAGTTAGAAGTAATTAATGCTTTTGTAGTGCCTTCTGTTGTCCTACATGTTTCACAAAACCTAGCTGCTAGTCTTGAAGCTTCTTCTGAATTTGATTATGGTATGTAATTATGTAAGGCATACTTTTGCATAATAATTGCTTAAAAAACAGTATTTCTCTTGTTTCCCATCATGTTTATTAGTAGTGAAATGGTATTTTTTTTCAATTGTCATGTAGGTTTCATTTCTTTTTTTTTTTATTGATGAGAGAAAGAAAGAAAGAAATCCATTTGTTGTTCCACTTATTGATGCATTCATTGGTTGCTTCTTATAGGTTGCTCATTCATTGGTACCCAGACTGGGGATTGAACCCACAACCTTGGCGTATCAGAACAATGCCCTAACCAGCTAAGCTACCTGTCCAGGGCCTCTCATTATTTTTTATACCATTTTCAAATTTAATCTTAGTTTCTCCAAAGGCAAGAAGGCATCTCATATTAATTATGGAAGAGTAAATTTCATTCTACCCTTTATTAATTGGTTCCTGTTTAAGTTAATTAGCTTGGATGTTTTTCACAGACATTTAATTATAAACTTCATAATCATCTACTTTTTAAACTGAACTATTATTTTAAAGACATTCATAAATATTTTATGTGACAGTCATTTGAGTGATTATAGGGTTGATTTTCAGCATTATTTATTTGGTAGGGTTTCCCCCCCCGAAAATTAATATTTCTCAAAACACTTTTCCTACTGTTGTTTGACATGGAAACTTTTGCCTGAATCACTGTTATAGCTACTTTTTTGTTGTTTCTGTTTTGTTTTGTTTACACTACCTTGCCAAAAATAGAAGATTGTGGTTTGGTTCACTTTACCAAAGGTATTTGGTTTGTGTTTGAATAGGAGTGTCCTGCAGAAGCCACTATTTAAAATAGGCACACACGACATTAGCACATATGTAAATAGCTGCTTCTTGAATTATCCTTCCAGTAACCAAATTTAGTTGTATGTGTTTGTAAAAGAAATGACGTCAGAGCTGTCCTTTTCTGTTACTATAACTCCTGACTCAAGAAAGACTCCTTGTGTTTGTAACTGTGGTCTTAAACCCAAATGTGCCCTTTTCTCATGGACACAGTCTCTTGAAGCATACCTCAAAGTCATAGAGAGAATATGGCATTTGAAAGAAATAATTTGTCTCAGATCATATGAGTTATTTTGTGAAACAACAGTTATCCTGTGGAAAAGGGACAGCTACTTTTAAATCGCTAAAGCATTTCATATCTTTCTGGGAATTTAGGTATAAATGGTCATCTTATTATTTTTCAAAAGGTATATTTTAATAATCTCACAATTTATATGCACTTTGTGACTAGAATTGAAAGGTTGTTAGTGTCATATCAAGGATCTTTTAAATTATACCACTACAGGATGTATCATTTCAAGTTTATTTAGCATAGCTAATGATTATCAAAGGATGCCAGTTAACATCATAATTATCTTTATGTTTACTGTATTTAACTAAAACCTAACAAATGTTGAAAACCCTAACATACTTAACCTGGTTTATCTGTTAATTTCAAATTGCTTGTAAAAATAATTTAAAATTGCACTGGGAACCTGAGAAAGACTCGTCACTGAATTTTTGGGTGATTTTCAGAGTTGTCCCCATCTCCCATCCTCCCCGCTCGCCTTTTTTAGGAGACATTGTTAAGCTCTAAAACCTGCCATTTAATGTTTATCTCCACCAGCATCAGAAGAAATCACTGCTTTCAGGGTGTTATGCAATGCATAGTGCCTTCTCTTTTCAGTGAAAAAGAGGTTTTGTGAAGGCATTTATGGTCATTACTGAAAACTGAATTAAAGGCCTTTGATTTTAAAACACTTGAATATCTTGTGTTATTTCTTTTTTTTTACTTTTCTCTTTTTAAAATTTTAATTGTTGTTCAAGTACCGTTTTCTGCTTTTTACTCTCATTCCAGCCCCAACCCCCCCCACCCAGGCCTCCCCACTTCCCTCGTGTTTCCACGCCACCCACGTTTTTTTCCATGTGTCCTTTATACTTGTTCCTGCAAACCCTTCCCTTTTCCCCCTGAAATTCCCTCCCCTCCCCTCTGGTCACTGTCGGCCTGTTCTCTATTTCAGTGTCTTCAGTTATATCTTGTTTGTTTGTTTGTTTGTTTTGTTGATTAGATTCCTGTTAAAGGTGAGATCATATGGTATTTGTCTTTCACCACCTGGCTTACTTTGCTTAGCATATTGCTTTCCATTTCCATCCATGCTGTTGCAAAGGGTAGGAGCTCCTTCTTTCTTTCTGCTGCATAGAATTCCATTGTGTAAATGTACCATAGTTTTTTGATCCATTCATTTACTGATGGGCATCTAGGTTGCTTCCAACACTTGGCTGTTGTAAATTGTGCTGTTATGAACATTGGGGTGCATAGGTTCTTTTGGATTGGTGTTTCAGTGTTCTTAGGATATAATCCCAACAGTGGAATTGCTGGGTCAAAAGGCAGATCCATTTTTAGTTTTCTGAGAAAATGCCATACTGTTTCCCATAGTAGTTGTACCAGTCTGCAATCCCACCAACAATGCACTAGGGTTCTCTTTTCTCCACAACCAACACTTGTTTGTTGCTTTGTTTATGATGGCCATTCTGACTGGTGTGAAGTGGTATCTCACTCTGGTTTTAATTTGCATCTCTCTGATAGCTAGCGAAACTGAGCATCTTTTCATGTGTCTCTGGGCCCTCTGTATGTCCTCTTTGGAGGAGTGTCTGTTCAAGTCCTTTGCCCATTTTTTAATTGGGTTGCTTTTCAGAGTGGAGTTGTGTGAGTTCTTTGTATATTTTGGAGATTAAACCTTTGTCTGAGGTATCATTGGCAAATATGTTTTCCCGTACACTTGGTTCTCTTTTTATTTTAATACTGTTTTCTTTAGCCTTGCAGAAGCTTTTTATTTTGATAAGATCCCATTTGTTTATTCTTTCCTTTATGTCCCTTGCTCTAAGGGACATATCTGAAAATGTTGCTGCATGAAATATCTGAGATTTTCCTGCTTACGTTCTCTTCTAGGACTTTAATGGTGTCACGGCTTATATTTAAATCTTTTATCCACCTTGAATTTATTTTTCTGTATGATGTAAGTTGGTGCTTGAGTTTCATTTTTTTTGCACGTAGCTGCCCAGTTCTCCCAACACCATTTGTTGAAGAAGCTATTTTTGCTCCATTTTATGTTGCTGCTCCCTTTGTCAAATATTAATTGACTGTAGAGACTTGGGCTTATTTCTTGGCTGTCTGTTCTTTTCCATTAGTCTATGTGCCTGTTTTTATGCCAGTACTAGGCTATTTTGATTACAGAGGCCTCGTAATACAGTTTGGTATCAGGTATTATGATCCCTCCTACTTTGCTCTTCTTTCTCAAAATTGCAGCAGCTTTTTGGGGTCATTTGTGGTTCCATATAAATTTTTGAAGTGTTTGTTCTATATCTGTGAAATATGCCATTGGTACTTTAATAGCGTGAAATGTGTAAATTGCTTTGGGTAGTATGGACATTTTGATGATGTTAATTCTTCTGATCCATGAACACGGTATATGTTTCCATTTGTTTGTGTCTTCCTTGATTTCTTTCTTCAGTATTGTGTAGTTTTCTGAGTACAGGTCTTTTACCTCCTTAGTTATTAGGTTTATTCCTAGGTATTTTATTTTTCTTGTTGCTATATCAAATGGGTTTTTTTTTTCCTGATTTCTGTTTCTGCTGTTTCATTGTTGGTATACAAAAATGCCTTTGATTTCTGGATATTGACTTTGTATCTTGCTGGTTTTGCCAAATTCATTTATTATGAATTTGAGCAGTTTTTTGGCAGTCTGTAGGATTTTCTATGTACACTATCATGTCATATGCAAACAATGACAGTTTCCTTTCCTCCTTTCAGATATGGATGTCTTTTATTTCCTTTTCTTGTCTGATTGCTGTGGCTAAAACTTACAATACTATGTTGAATAGAAGTGGTGAAACTGCACAACCTTGTCTTGTTCCTGATCTTAGTGGAAAATATTTTCGTTTTTGCCCATTGAGTATAATGTTGGCTGTATGTCTCTCCTATGTGGCCTTTATTATGTTGAGGAATGCTCCCTCTATTCCCACTTTGCTGAGTGTTTTTATCATAAATGGCTGTTGTACCTTACCAGTTGCTTTTTCTGCATCTATTGATATGATCACGTGGTTTTTATCTTTGCTTTTGTTTATGTGATGTATTACATTAATTGATTTCCGAATATTGTACCATCCTTGTATCCCTGGGATGAATCCCACTTGGTCATGGTGTATGAACTTTTTAACGTATTTTTGGATGCAGTTTGCCAATATTTTGTGGAGGATTTTGGTGTCTATGTTCATCAGTGATATTGGCCTGTAGTTTTCTTTCTTTTTTGTGTCTTTATCTGGTTTGGGATTAGGGTGATGGTAACTTCATAAAAAGAGTTTGGGAGTCTTCCATCATTTTGGATTTTTGGGAATAGTCTGTGAAGGATAGGGGTTAGCTCTTCCTTAAATGCTTTGTAAAATTCTCCTGTGAAACCATCTGGTCCAGGGCTTTTGTGTGCCAGGACTTTTTCATTACTGCTTTAATTTTATCAGCTGTTACTGATCTGTTCAGGCTTTCTGCTGCTTCATTCAGTTTTGGAAGATTATATTTTTCTAGAACTTTGCCCATTTCACCTAGGTTTTCAAATTTCTTGGCATATAGTTCTTCATAGCAATTTCTTACAATCCTTTGTATTTCTGTGGTATCAGTTGTAATCTCTCTTTCATTTCTGATTGGGTTTGTTTGGGTCTTCTCTCTTTTTTCCTTGATGAACCAACTGGCTTAAAGGCTTGTTGATTTTGTTTATCTTTTCAGAGAACCAGCTCCTGGATTCATTAGTCCTTAGAATTGTGCTTTTATTGTCTATGTCATTTAATTCTGCTCTGATCTAGGTTATTTCCTTCCTTCTACTTGCTCTGGGCTGTCTTTGTTGTTGTTCCTCGAGTTCTTGTATGGGGAGGGTTAGGTTGTTTGTTTGAAATGTTTCTGTCTTTTTTGGTAGGCCTGTATCACTATGAACTTCCATCTCAGGACTGCCTTTGCTATTTCCCATAAGTTTTGGGTTGTTGTGAGTTCATTTTTGTTTCCAGGAACTTTTTGATTTCTTCCCTAATTTCATTCTTCATTCATTCATTGTTTAATAGCATGCTATTCAATCTCCATGATTTTGAGTGTTCCCCCCCCACCCCTTGGGGTTGGTTTCTAGTTTTAGTCCCTTGTGGTCAGAGAAAATGCTTGATATGATTTCAGTTTTCTTGAATTTGCTGAGGCTTGTTTTGTGTCATATCATGTTGTCTATTTTTGAAAATGTTCCATGTGCATTTGAAAAGAATGTGTATTTAGCTTCTTTGGGATGAAGGGCTTTATATATATCAGTTAAATCAGTTTCATCTAGGGCATTTTCAATGCCACACTATCTTTGTTAATATTTTGTTTGGAAGATCTGTCCATTTTTGACAGTGAGGTGTTAAAACCCCCTATTGTAATTGTGTTGCTGTCAATATCTTTCTTGAAGACCTCTAAGATTTTCCTTATGTATTTGGGTGCTCCTATGTTGGGTGCATATATATTTACAATGTTTATGTCTTCTTGGTGGATTCTTCCCTTTAGCATTATGAAGCGACCTTCTGTGTCTCTCTTTATGGCTCCTTTTCTGAAGTCTGTTTTGTCTGATATGAGTATTGCTACCCCAGCTTTTTTTCCCTTTCCGTTTGCTTGGAAAATTTGTTTCCAGCCCTTCACTTTCAGTCTGTGTAGGTCTTTTGTCCTGAGGTGGGTCTCTTGCAGGCAGCATATGTGTGGGTCATGCTTTCTTATCCATTCAGCTATTCTATGTCTTTTGATTGGAGCATTTAATCCATTTACATTTAAGGTTATTATTGATAGGTACTTATTCATTGCCATTTTCGTACCTGTGTTCCTCTTTCTCTCTTTTCCTTCCTTTCCTTAAAGCAGTCCCTTTAGCATCTCTTGTAGAGCTGGTTTAGAGGAGGTGTATTCTTTTAGACTTCTGTCTGGGAAGCTCCTTATTTGGCCTTCTATCTTGATTAAGAGCCTTGCTGGGTAAAGTAGCCTTGGTTGCAGGCCTCTGGTTCTCATTAGTTGGAATATTTCCTGCCATTCTCTTCTGGCTTGGAGTGTTTCCATTGAGAAGTCAGCTGCTAGCCTTATCTGGGCTCCCTTGTATGTTACTTCCTGTTTCTCCCTTGCTGCCTTTAAGATTCTCTCTTTGTCTTGGAATTTTTGCCATTTTAATTATGATATGTCTTGAAGTGGACCTCTTTGGGTTCCTCTTGATTGGGACTCTCTGTGTTTCCTGTATTTGTGTGACTTCTTCTCCCATCAAATTAGGGAAGTTTTCCATCATTACTTTTTCAAATAGGTTTTCTGCCCCTTGCTGCTCTTCTCCTTCTGGTATCCCTTTTATACAGATATTATTTTTTATATTTTCCTACATTTCTCTTAATCTCTCTTCATTCTTTCTGAGCTTCTTTTCCTTTTCTTGGTCTTTCTGGGTTTTTTTTTTTTTTTTTGCTTTGTCCTCCAATTCACCGATTCGATCTTCTGCTTCATCAGTCCTGCTTTTGATTCCTTCTACTGTGTTCTTCAGTTCAGAAATTGTATTCTACATTTCCTCTTGGCCTTTGTTGATAGTTTCTATTTTCTTTTTCATGTTGATATAGTTTGCAGTCAGTTCACTGTAGTTTCCCTTTAGTTCTGGTAATTCATTGTGAGCTCACTGAGCTTCCTGATAACCATTGCTTTGAACTCGGTATCTGATAGTTGAGTTGCCTCTATTTCATT